CGAAAAGATTGTTCAATTTAAACAAATGATGTTTGCAATAATCACTCAATAAACAAATTATTTTGGGAAACTTACATTTAACAACAAACATAAATATGTTATAATCCTTACTAAATATGTTAAATATAGAATTTTTATTCTATTAATATTTGTATCTATTTTAATGTTGAGTAAAAATAATTAACAATGCCAATTTAACTTTTTATTATATAAATAAAACCTACATTTGTATATAATATGTAGAGGTATCTAGGTACCTATTACGTCCTTATAAGGTGTATAATTAACAACGTTATTTTTAGTACAATAAATTATATATTTTCCAAATACAAAATACAAATTTCTTAAGTATACATGCTATTAATAACAACCATACATACTAAATATTTAATATGAAAATAAAATAAAAATCTGAAAAGATAACCTTTGCAATCACATAAACGTCAACTAATTTTAAAGTTAATTTTTTTTAACTTATTATTTTTCTAATAAACTTTTTAACTTAACAAATTTAATTTTCCGTTAAAATAACTTAGCTTTTGTCAGTTAATTAGTTTAAATAAAAATTAAGCTAAATTCAAAATTCTATAAAAATTGAATGTTTATATACGATATGTACGCGAATTAATTAAAAAAATCGAATTATCCCCTAAGCTAAATAACATATTTATATAAAAATAATAATAATTTTTTTAGTTTTTCAATTGATTTTTGGTTTTTAATAATTAGCTCTAAAAATAGAACCAACACAAAAATGTATAAAACAATTAAAAAAAATTATGGCAATTTTTAGAATAAAAAGTGAAAAAATTTAAAATATTGTAATTTTTTGGAAGATTTTCACCATTTACAGAGAACGAGGGAAAAATTTTCAATTTTTGAGAGTTATATCTTCGACTAAATACAATTTGTGATCTTTTGTCTTATCGTTGTATAAAATCAGATCAGTAAGAGCTGAAAAAAGTTGTAACAGACACAAAAAAAAACCTTGCACAATGGAGACATGTAGTTGGGTCCAGTATAAATTAAAGACTATTAAGACAGATTTGCATCAAAGCGTTTTTTATTTTAGTGATTTTAATCACTGTCAGATATCATCTATACTGTATCCAACTATGTCAAGTCCCCACTGTGTCGCGACCCCATTGTGCTGTGTTTTTTTAAATTAGTTAAGTAAAAAAAAAAAAGTTCAACTTACTTTTTAACTTAGAAAGTTAAATTTATAATTTAGTAACTTTAGCTGTTAATTTATCGACATTGTTCATACGTAACTTAAATAAATTTGAATTAATTATTACTATTAACTTGCCTATCTTTGACTATATTATTAATAGTAAAATGTATCGGTTTCTATGACAAACTATAATATTAAAAGATTAATTTTTAAGCCCCCTTTGCTATAGTATAGTACCTCTAGAAACAACCGAATACTACAATTATTTTATAGAAATCATTGCTTAAACTAGTTAATCTTATTTATGTGTTATATATTTGACAATATACTTTTATATCTTCATTCAATATTTTTTAATTTTATTTTAGTATTTAAGGTTTTAATATTTGAACACAATTTTATTCATATTATATATCAATATATAAGTTTGATCCAAACATAATTTTATAATTTTATAATCATTAAAAGAAAGCTCTAATATATTATTACTTCTTGATGTTAGTAAAACATTAATATTAAAAATATACGCAATGCAATATATTATAGATCATTTCATTTTTTCATTTTTTTTTTTTTTACTTCTGTAAAATATTTCTGTGTATTTATTAAATTTTCTTGGAAGTGTAATTAGTTATTTATTTTTAGTTTTATTGTATTCTTGTTTTTACTATAATAACTTTTGTATAACAAAACTATTTTTTATTGATAGACTGAGTATTAAGAGTATTTTTTTTTTTTTGTATCTTGTACTGTATTAATATCTAAAAATTGTATTATTTTGAAAGCAATAAATTTACTAGGAATTTATATAGTGTATTTTTTAAAATAACATTGAATGTAAAATGTGTAATAAAATTATAAGATAGTTTCCTAATGAATATATGATCTTATAATAAATCTATGATTTTAGTTAACAACTAATAAATGTTAAATAAATTGTGTTTTCGTTTTATGTTAGTAATATCATTTTTCAAAATAACCTGCCATTTTGTAGGAACTCGAAAGATACGTTTCCCTTAATTTGATGACAAATTTTAATTTGTCGTTCGTAACGCAAAAATATATTTAGGGCGTGTTAAAACGAAGATTTACGTCGTATAAATATAAACATTATTAATCACTTACGATTTTAGCTCATACTAGGTTACTATAAGTAAACAGAAGACCGGTATGAGTGATATAGTAAATTTAATCTCTCGTCGTAGTCAGCTAAAAGGCATTTTACGTGTTCAACACACATTTACATGTTCATGTAAATAAAGAAAACCCCGACTTTGAGGAGCTTCTAGTTTGAAGAGAGAAGGCAGAAGAGGTTTGGCAAGACTTTCAGAATGTGTAGCTAAGATTGAAATTGAAAAAGGCACTATTGATGAAAATACAAATATAAGTTCGAAGAATTTTATTTTAAATGTATATCCAAAAGCTCTAGATATATTAAACTTACCAAAGAAAAAATAAGTATCATAAGCGAAGCTTCTGAAACTTCGTAGTTAACCGAAGTTTTTAATTAAATTAATTAAATTACCGAAGTAATTTAAAAACCGAAGTTTTCGGATATTAAATTAGCACCAATAGAAATGTCTAAATTCTCTGGAATGTATCGGAATGGTCATCGTTTAAAGATTTACTTTATTTATTAATACACAACAATAATAATTTAAGCAATATACAAAAATTTCGTTATTTAAGAGGTTCATTAATCGAAGAAGCTCAGAAGGTCTTTATGTGTTTGCCAACGAATTAGAACAATTACAAAAATGAATGGATAAATCTTATTGGACGTTACAGTAATAACAAAATGCTCGTTCAAGCGCACACTAAAACTCTGTTTGAGTTAAAAAAGATAAGGGAAGAGCCATCGTCAACTGTCGAAGCTTTATTAAAATTTATACAAGAACGATTTTGTGTATGGAAGTTGTAGAATCGCCACAAGGGATAAATTATTTATCATTTTCAAAAATAAAAGATAGACAAAGAGTGTGTTAGTTCTAAAAAGGTCATCAGTATTTACAGTAACTGGATCTATTAAGTGTTACTTTTTTAAAGAAGCGAATATAATATATTGTTTTTCAAATTTCTTAAAATTGTCTGTAGCTGAGCGAGTGAAAAGAGCGGTCGAATTTAATTTATGTAAGATTTGTCTACGGCAACACGGCAATGATAAATGTACAAGTCGGTCATGTATTAAGTGTGCGGTAAGCACAATAGTTTATTACATTTTACGAAAATGGCAAAACCAGCTGATAAGTCCGTTCCGCGCCTCTTTCCTGGAGATAGTTTATTATGTACAAAGTCCCGCGTATTACCGTTGAAAACGTTAACAATATTACGGATAGAACTTCTCACTGCATTGTTTTTGGCTCGATTAATTTCCAACTACACACACAAACTTAAAATCTCAATTAATGAAAAATATTATCGAAGTGACTCACGAGTGGTATTGGCATGGATCATCTCGTTAGAAAACTTTTATTGGTCATTGAGTGTATGAAATACAAAAAACAACTAGATTCATCAGTAGCATCACATTGGAACAAGAGACAACCCGGCTGATATCGTTTCACGGGGATGCGATCCAACTAAAATGGCAAAAAATCGACTTTGGTGGTATAAACCAGATTGACTACTTAAATGTTCAAATTTTTGGCCCGTAGTAAAGCATAATATTAGTATACCATAACCAGACTTAATATTAGAAGAACGTAACCAGCACAACACGGCGTTATTATCATTTGTCGAATATGATGTTTCTTTATTTAGTAAATATTCTTCTTTAAGTAAATTATTACGGGTAGTGTCGTATAGTCACCGTAGGCGTTTATATAGTATACATTACTGTCGTAAATAAAGCATGTGAAAATATTCGACAAATCGAGATAAACGATACCGCTACGTGTATAACAAAGATTATACAGGCTAATAATCGGCACAATGAAATCAAAACTTTGGATTAACAAGAGGAAATAAGCAGCAAAACTGAACACGGTGTTGATCCGCGTAGAAGCAATATTAAATTCGCGTCCTATCATTTTAATGCCATCGGATCAAGAAGTTTTATCAGTGTTAAAGCAGGGTCATTTTTTCACGGGTAATATTTTTTCTAATTTGTTTGAACCCGATAAGACGGTACATAACATCAATATATTTACAAGATAGTGCATAGTGGCACATTTTACTCAAAAAATTTGGAAGCGATGGTGACACGATTATTTATTGTAACTTCAAGAAAAGAACAAATGGTCAGAATCATCAGGACCCAGTGTTCATATCGGTACAATTGTTTTAGTCAAGGAGGAAAATATTTCACCTTTGAAATGGCCAATCGGTAGAATAGTTGAGGTAACGATGACAAGGTCCGTGTTGTCAAGATAAAAACGGCAAATGGTGTATTCCAACGTGCAGTACGCAAAGTTTGTCCACTGCCTTTCGAGGGTAACCAACCAGATGTTTAAAGGTATCCTTTCATTTTGTTACTTTATGGTATACGAGAGTATTATGTATTATATCCGCCAAATATGTACAATTTACTAACTTGTAAAATTATTATTTATGTATGCTGATTTAAAATTGTAATTTTGTACGAAATCACCATACTGTTTAATTTATATATATACGTACCATTTTAATGCAGTCTACTACATGAAAACCATAATTATTGAGTTTATTATTAAACAAATAAGACTAGTGAGAATGAATCACCTTTCTACCGCTTAACATACACAATGCCTCATTTAGCTAAAATATCACTCGGATTTTTATAATATATTTTCATTAAATGCTAAATTAATTTCTAATAAAATAAAAATTTAATTAAGTTTTGACTTACTATCTGCATTTTGATCATCGTCATGAATACCACATGCTTTTAAAATATACATTTAAATATAGTAAGATCAGTATTTATTATAACACACATTTTTGATTACTTGTTGTCTATTACAACAACACACATGTAAAAATAAATCTTAATATAAAAATTATAGAAAATTTATGACTGTGTATGGAAACTGGAGACCTAGCGCAACGATAATTTTCAACCCCCATGCAGAAAACACCAAGACAAATGAGTCAAATTTTACGGAAATGTCTACGGTGAAATTGTTAGTATATAAAGTTCTTAATAACTTCACTTCAAGTAATATGAATACTATTCACTGAATAAAATTATGGTTTTATGAAATAAATACATAAAATTTATAATCCTAAATATTATTAACTTTTCACAACTAAATTTTGGTACTCTGAATTACGAAAACCGCATTCCATTTTCTAAAATCATACCATTACATACAATTTTTCTCCGTAAAAGAAAAATACAATAATCATAAATATAATTAACTATAATAATTAATAAATTAATTATTTAGTTTTAAATAAATTATACCATTTCTAATATTCGTATTTAAGAGAAGATAAAATTCTTTCAAAAATTTTACCTTAATGTTAGAGACCGTATTTTTATCATAAAAAATTATGTTTTATTAACCTCCACAAAAAAACTTAAAAATAAAAATGAAATTTTATTACCAACGAAAAAAAACAAACATAAGCTTAAAAAAACTGGATAATTCTGTAAAATAATGAAAGTTAATTACAATTACTATGACAATGACTAATTATAACATCACTATGTACAAACCATTTTTTTCTCTCTTTATTTGATGTTACACTTCCACAATTTTTTTGAAACAAATGTTGTACCAAAAAAATGTATTTCTTTAAAAAAGATTCTTATTGAACAAAATTTAATAAGTATATTATACAAATTGAATTATTTATACTCTACAATATAAAATATATACAGGTTCAACTATGGTTTACGACATATCTTCTTTTTATATGTTTTTTTCTCTTCTCAAAAGTTCATATTATTGTCTATAATTTTCAAAAAAAAAAAAAATTTGTTTTATTCGCTCGTTTATTTAAATTTTATAATATTATAATAGAATAATACACTGAATGTTTAGTAAGTAAGTAAACAGGTCAATTAATACAAACAATAAGAACAATTGAAACCTGCTTTCTTCCTTACTGTACACCCTATATATTTAACCAGATTAAAAATTAGAATAAATAACTATCTAAATAAGAAAATGACAGGTTATTAACAACTTTGGAAGTTAACAAAAAATAATTATAATAACAGGTAGTATGCGTACGTCGATTTATTTTTAGTTCTAGACATTTTATTCTGTACTACTCTTCCCGCCACGGTATAAAAATTCTAATTAGCTTTTTTTAATTTAATATATTATAATATATTTTAAAGAGCTGATGTTGTTATCGACTGGTTATTTTTAACACGCTTATATTAGTTTCACCTGTATGTATGTATGTATGTATGTATGTTTGTAACTCTCCAAACGCCACGCGTTATCGCATATTCCGTCGTCTAGACTAAACTGTCATAACGCATTCACCCCTCCCCACGTCACGCTTACCACACGATGGCATACTATTCCTATAAAAATTTATTTTTAGTTATCGTACCCGTACACGCGTGCTTGTCATCAATATTATATATATATAAACAAATTTTTATTTTGACTGACCAATACCGCCCGCGTCTAATGCGCCTTACGTATATATATTTATATATTCCTACCACCGTTTATACCTCAGGTATAACGTTAGTCCGACCCGCCCGCCCACAAAATACGGTTATACCTAGTGCATGATACGTTTACGTACTTAAGTCGCTTTACTTTTATATATATATATATATATATATATTCTAATTACTATTAAAATTTATATATTAACACGCTTTATTTTAATTAAGAGATATAAAGTATTCATTCCGATTACGAGGGATGATTTCCGTATCGTCATTTTTCGTCACTACCTCTATGTTCCGGGAGTGAGTAATTTACGCGCCTGTTGCTTTCCTTGGATGTGGTAGCCGTTTTTTAGACCCCTCCCCGGAATCGAACCCTGATTTCCCGTTACCCGTAACAACCATGAAATTGATAGTAACTACTATCATAACATAAAACTAAAAAGTAAAAAATAAATATAGTTTAAAAAACTAAAAAAACACGCTTTTAAAGCACATCGAACTAAAAATTATTTTTAACTTTTTAGTTCGATGTGCTTTAAAAGCGTGTTTTTTTAGTTTTTTAAACTATATTTTTTAAACATAATATGTGAAACATATATTATATGTTTCCATTAAAAAACAAAATTTGACACAATTTTAAAGATGAAAGGGGAATGATTTAAAAATTTTTTTGAAAATCATAGAATGTAAGTTATAAACTTCTAAGAATTAAAAATAATTTTTTATTTTATACTTTAAGGATATAGTTTAAACATAATTTTAACGTTAAACATCTCTACTGTAATAATAGTTTTATTCGGTTTACATATAGTAAAATAAATTAATATCAAAATATATTCAATCAATCTATCGTATAATACAAGTTAGATTATAAGTTGATGAATAAATTTTATATCTATTTTTAAATAATCAACTCGTATAGTATTTAATGCATCAAAATAACTGAAAAGAATTTTTATAATTTGAATTATAATGAACAAAAATTGCAAAAATACTGCTACGTGGAATTAATCTGATCAAAAATTATATTTACTTAATTGTTTTTATTATTTATAACGCAATAATACCAATAACGTAAATAACACAACATTATACATATTAAACCAAATTAAATAAATTATTACTATTAACATTTGTTGCCGCCTGGGCTGTTCTAAAAAATCCCAAATATGAATGGGGAACAGAACTTGGCCGTACGGCTTAAAATAGGGGCAACTATTAATCAACAAAAATTTCCTATACAATTTAGAATTTGTTAAAATACAAAATATTTTTTGTTTATCCGAAATAGGATTGGTTAACTTAATAAATATAAAGAAATAATTTAAATAACAACACTAATTTTTATTGTTGATGAATTAAATAATTAATAAATATAAATACCCATATTACTTACATTCAATTTTTAATTTTGTTTGAATACCATGAATAAAATGAACTACCATTTATAAAAGTGATATACCACCTGTAGCTTTATTGTAATAATGTTATAACCAATAAAACATAAAACAGAATACAACTATACGAATTTACAATTATAATATGAACGATATATTTTAAAACGAAAAATTGAGCAAAGTTTTTACTGATTAATACCAAAACAACAATTACTTCAAATGAAAAAAACAATATAACTTAAAAACTAAAATGTATAATATAACAACCGGTACACACTTACATTTTGAATAAAAAACCGATCGAATAACACGGTAATAAGCTGATAAGGCGTCTTAACAGGTGATAGCGCACAAGCACTACCACCTGTTACACCCAATCAGTGCAGCTCTCACACACGGCGCGAACAACATTGAAGTAATTATTTCAAAAGTATCCGTAAATAATGTTGTAATAATAATATTATAATAATAATATGTTATGAATAAATGTACAATGTTATAATGTGTGTTTTAATTTATTAAATTTCTTACTTTTTCCATAGAAATTGAAAAAAATGTATAAATTAAATGCAGTTATATAATACATTATAATATTTTTTAATATTATGTGGAAAAATTAGCCTTCAATTCGAAATTATATTAGGATCAAAATAATAAATTCTATACATGTTAATTACCTTTTCCCTTCTTATTAGTATTATAAAAAGTCATATTTAAATCTTAATAACAAATAAGTTAAAATAAAATTTTTGTTTGAATAATAGCCAGTTGATATAAATAAATCAAGTTATTATTTACCTCTGATATTTGTCAGCGATCTGTTTACTAAAATATAAAATTATGTTTAATTTTATACAGAGTGTTCAGTAAGTAAGGAAACAGGTTAATTGCTACAAACAATGATAACAATAGAAACCTGTTTCCTTACTTACAGAGCACTCGATATTAACGTATTTTTTTTTTTAATATTCCATAACATACCCGCCAAAGAATTATTTTTCGTATGTAGATTTCTATACAGAGTGGCCCACCACTCACTGACAACTTAAATAAATTTTATCCAGTTAATATTTTTAGCTGATTTTTTTTTTAATAATAGTTATACGTTAGGTCCATAGCTATATCTTAACAATTAATTTTTTCACATTTTATTTAAAATTTAAAAATAAATAATATTTTTAATAAAATGTGAAAAAATTAATTGTTAAGATATAGCTATGGACCTAACGTATAACTATTATTAAAAAAAAAATCAGCTAAAAATATTAACTGGATAAAATTTATTTAAGTTGTCAGTGAGTGGTGGGCNGTTATTTAAGTTGTCAGTGAGTAGTGGGCCACTCTGTATATATGTAAATATACAATCTAGCAATCACGGCTCAAGATACAACCTTCGATAATGTGGAAAAAAATATGTTGCTTCCACCTACGAAACTGCGTTGCCAAGAAATGTCTTAATATAGAATGGTTAGGAAAAATATTGCAGAACACTGACTACCCCGTGTACCTAGGCGTTACCCTAGATAGGACCTTGACATTTAAGGAGAACTATTTCAAAACTAAAATGAAAGTACAAGCAACAAATAACTCGCTGAAAACTCGCTGGATCCAATGGGGAGCTCGGCTTTACACCATGCGTACAACCGGTATAGCACTATGTTTCTCAACTGAAGAATATGCGTGTTCAGTATGGAGCCAATCCAAACACGCCAAACATGTATTTATAACTTTGAATGATAATTGCAGAATCATAACGGGATGTCTTAGGCCTACACCTACATATAAGTTATACCTTCTAGCANACTCTGTATACAGGGTGATTTTTTTATCATAACCCACTCAATTACTTTCAGAATAATAATAATTTAAACATTTTTTTTTTTTATTATCTTTAGTTACACATTATTCTTGAATTTTTAACTATGTAATACTTTTTAAGTTCATCCCTTATGCCTTGGAGGGGGGTCAACTTTGTTTTTTTAAATGGTAACACATATTTTTAATTTAATAAAATGTTTGAGTTTTTAATTGAATAGTAAATGGTATTTGAATTTTTAATATAACTTTATTAGCTTATTAGATATGAACATTTAAAGTTTCAAAATGTTGAGTTAATATACATGTATAATACACATGGGATTGTAAATACAGGTAGCTAATTGGATTTTTATGACATTGCTGTCTCAGTCACGGATTGTTTATTNTATTGCTATCTTAGTCACGGATTGTTTATTATCAATTATGATTATCACTATATATACTTTCTGTATTGTCAGTTAGTGTATTTATAAACTCATAACACTGTGCCTTACTACAATTGATAATAACAATGCTGTGTACCTACTAATATCGATGTTATAAAAAACCAATTAGCTACCTATATTTGTAATCCCTTGTGTATTATACCTGTATATTAATTCAAAAATTTGAAACTTTAAATGATTATATCTAATAAACGAATTAAGTTATATTAAAAATTCAAATGCCATTTACNTCTCATTGTTACAAACAATGAGAACAATAGAAACCCGTTTCCTGACTTACTGAACACCCTGTATATTAACCCAAAAATTTGAAATTTGAAATGATTATATCTAATAAACGAATTAAGTTATATTAAAAATTCAAATGCCATTTACTATTGAATAAAAAACTCAAACATATTATTAAATCAAAAATATGTGTTACCATTTAAAAAAACAAAGTTGACCCCCCTCCAAGGCATAAGGGATGAACTTAAAAAGTATTACATAGTTAAAAATTCAAGAATAATGTGTAACTAAAGATAATAATAAAAAAAAAATGTTTAAATTATTATTATTCTGAAAGTAATTGAGTGGGTTATGATAAAAAAATCACCCTGTAGAAATCTACATACGAAAAATAATTCTTTGGCGGGTATGTTATGGAATATTAAAAAAAAAATACGTTAATATCGAGTGCTCTGTAAGTAAGGAAACAGGTTTCTATTGTTATCATTGTTTGTAGCAATTAACCTGTTTCCTTACTTACTGAACACTCTGTATAAAATTAAACATAATTTTATATTTTAGTAAACAGATCGCTGACAAATATCAAATCTGCAATCAAATTTAAAATGTTTACATTTTTGTAAAAACCATTGATTTTAACCAGATTTTGTTTTCATAAAACCAATGTGTGTTACGAGTACGCGATGATGAAGTGAAACTTTTTTAGTTATGAAGATTGTGGTTCTTTAAAATTTTTTTATGAATAATCAAAATTATTTGAAATTTAGTTATTTAATGCATTTTAATTAAAATTACTTTAATTAACACCGGCAATAACATTGTAAAATTTTATTCAGTGCTGATTTGCTAACTCGAAAATTGTGGCGACAACGCAACAGACGAACAGACGAGTACGAATGAATAAATAAAAGAAAAACCTTCAATACCATACGTTGCAGGGACTGGTCAAAACAACAGCGTCGTGTACCGATACGAAGGTGGGTGTTTTAGTAGGGGTGACGGTGTTACCGGTATACCGATTTGAGGTCGATATACCGAAAATATCGAAATATCGAGTATACAGTAATAATATATTATTACTTATAATATTAAAATATTATATTATGTTATCTTTTGTACATGTATGTAATATATTATGAATTCACAAGATCACCAAAACAGAGTTCTCTTATTTAAAACTTAAAATAATCAATAATTTAGTCAATTAAATCAGATTATTGTACAGATTAAAAGTAACGCCTATGTGTGGGTTCTCAATTAGATGCAGCCAATCACATTTAACTATTAATTAAGATCCATAGTTTCTAAGATCACACTAGGGATCGCTACACGACCCTCGTTTGCTATAAAAACCCATTTTTTCCAATTAAAATCAGTTTTTTCAGCGATTTTAACATACACAAAATCTGCGACACTTTACTCAAGATTCTTACTCCCTGGAACTTAATTTTTTTAAAATTTATTTGGACTTCGAATATTTTTTCTTTAAAACTAAATGACACTTAGAGATTTTAAAGTGAATTTTGTTTTGTGAATCTTTTAATTTAATTAAATTTGTTCATTAAATAATAATGTTTAATGTTTAATATTAATGTTTACCATGGAAATAAATGTCAATTAATATTTTAAAACAAAAACATTTTTTTATATATAATAAAATCGAATCAATTCTAATTTTTTCAGTTAGTAGTAAATATTTATTATATGACTAAGTGTATTGCAACTCTATACTTATTGGGTAGCTAATCTTCTGTGGTTTAATGTCTTTGTTTTAACGAACATCGCGCCGGCAGACAGCACAGAGAAACTTACAAATATATGTTTTTAGTGTTTAATTTTTGTCTTGGTGATTATTGTGCCGCATCCTTTCAAGGTGCTTTATTTTAGCACCGGGACACATTGGCCCACCACAATTCCGTCTTGACAAATCTTTTACATAGATATAAATATTTCTGAATCTTGTTTTGGTCAGGCCAGAGGAAAATTTAAGAATTATTGGTATCGATCTCTCAATAAAATATAATCTCTCAAACAATATACTCATTCTACAAAGTCAACTAAGGATATATTATTTGATTATAATTATAAAAATAATATAGAGTGTATAGAATCTTCTGCATATAATAATGCAGTCATAGATGTTGTGTAACGGTTTCGCATTATTTATAATTAAACGCTTTGTTCTCAAACGGTCATATTTACTGTAGAGCTCAAAGTGTAAAACTCCGTTTAATCACCCCTCTGAATTCTTCTTTATTCGTATCATTATATCCTTTGCTCCTTTACATATCTTGCCACATTTAAACATGTGTTACTCCGCCATTTATTATCTTATTTAATAATTTTTATTATTATTCGGCCATACATACGCTATATTATATCTTTAGTCTGACTAAGAATCAACCCTTTGATTTTCTTTTGGTACAATATAAGCATTCACATCTTCAATAATAAAATCCACATCACCACCATTTTTATCCTCCATTATTATTTTCCCTTAAACCTACATATTATTATTGTCTATATCATACCATTCGTTCCCCAATAGCAACCGCCTATTTCATCACCTTCATCTTATCTTATATCATAATTTAAATTTCAGCTTTTAATATGTATTCTTTTTCTTTTTGGTTTATACCGATAACCGAAATTAGTTATTTAATATTTTAATCTATTTTTAGATTGTTCTTAATTTCCAGTGAGAAATATATGACATATTTACAATATTAAATATATATATCTTAAATACCGATATGGGTTCGTATTATTTTGTTTTTATCGTTGTTGCGTGTTGTTTATCACAATAATTGCATCGTTAAATCGATAATAAATTATCGTTTATATCGAATTGAACAAAAAAAACCCAGCACAGGGGTGTTGCGGCACAGTGGTGACGTGACATAGATGGATCAAGTATAATGATATCTGACAGTGATTAAAATCACTATAAAAAAAAAAACGCTTCGATGCAAATCTTTAGATAGTGTTTAATTTTAAAAAATGGGTGGATTATTCCAAAAGCTATATGATCTGCTAGTTCATTATTAATATCCTAATTAAGATAAAGTATGTCGAATGAAAAAGAGATTATTAAAAAATATTATTTCTCATAAAAAAATTGTATTGATCAATACACTTTTCAATAAGTTATAGCATTATAAAGTTAAAAATGTAAAAAATAAAATTCAGAATTTTCACAAAATAATAGGATTGCTACCAAATCCTATTATTTTCACCGTGAAGACAAAATAAAGTCCGAAAATTTTTTTTTTACATAATAAAGTAGATTACATTAGCTTTAATTTAAGATATATATAAAAGTGTCAGACTTTCTGGAACACTTTCAAAATTTAAATTCAAAAAGTAATTTTTTTGGAGGTTTCCCCCATTTATTGGGAACGAGGGAAGTTTTTTCAATTTTTGAGGGTAAGAGAAGGTAAGAAACTGGGTGATTGGCTACTACAGCGAGTACAACCGGTAGCACCTGCTACTATCAATAACGACCGGTTAGAACGCGAACGACAAATCACTAGCACAAAAATAACACCGCCGCCCGTTCATATCAAAACAAAATACGCGGTCGGCGACGTTGTGTACTATAAAGCGCATAACTTATTAAACGCAAATAGACAATTTTGTGCGGGTTTTGCACCGAAGTGGTGGGGCCCCGTGAGATTAGCCGAACGCCTCGGTAAAGGCGTGTTCTTAACGGACCAGTCCCCACCAAGGAAAATTCATGTCTCATGTATGAAAAAACAAAGTTAGTAGTTTTTTTTTTTGTTATTTTTCAGTATGAGCAACAACAACAACTCAGCCACACCCTTATCCGTCGAGGAGGTCCAACGGTTGGTTGGCCAATTGGCGGGCCGGGTGGGCCTCCCGACGGACCCCCTCCCGCGCGTACTGCGCTCGGCGGAGGATGCTTCGCGCGCCCCCCTACCCGAGGTACTAAGGAATCCCGTGGCTCGAGCCCACTTCGAACGGGGTATGCGGGCGGGTCGCGAGGAGGTGAGGCGCGAAATATAAATCGCGCTAAACTCCCTCCCACGCGCCTCCCCGTCCGCCCCGGGAGTCCAAGCTCCCCTTCCCCCAAAACCTCGTCGGGTGATAAATGTGGCGGCCCAACACTTTCCCCTACCGGGGGAGACGTCCACAAGCAATACGCGGGTGGCCCCCTCTCCTCGGCCTCTACTGTCTTTCCGCGCTACGCGACCAGACAACGCCCCACCGACGTCACGCCGCCCGAAGCATCCATACGCCAGGGGCAGTGGAAGGTCCGCAGCGACGTCTACCTCTACGACCAGTAAAACTCCTCGCTACTACTCTCCGTCCGGACGAAGAAGTACAGGGAGTATATGCTTCGACGTTGGGGGGTCGTCGTCGATGAGGACCTTACACCGCCCATTACCCCGACCGCAACACTGCGGACAACAACAACAGCGCCAACAACAGCATCTGCAACACCACCAACAACATCAACAACACCGACAACATCAGCAGCAACCCCAGCAGTGACAACAGCTATTGTCAGCCGGCCGTCGGGCATGTATGTGGACGGGGTGCTGGCGGCGTCAGCACCAGCAACGACACCAGCACAGGAGGAGCGGCCGGAGACGCCGATGGAGTTAGAGGACGACGGCCTGGTTCGGGAGATGGACCTGTTCCTCTCATGCCCCACCTCCCCAGCACAGCCGGAGCCCCCGGCCGAGTAAGAGCTCCCTCCCACCCCAAGCGCGTTACGCGCGGGGTCTATACCCCTAACCCCCTCCCTGCTGCGCGCACTCCGCGGGGCATTACCACCCACTCCATCAAACATACAACGTAAGTATTGCGGCTTGTTATTGCGCTATGCGCACTCTAATATATTCGACCAAACACGGAACGCCATATGCGCTATTTCATTTGATTTTTAGAGTAAAGCGGCGGCTTGGTGGGGGGGTATTTGACACGGCCACGGCGTTGTCACACGTTGACACCCCGCGGTCGTGTCAGCTCCTTCTCAGCCACCGCTTCACTGTAAACCGGACCGTCACACACACGCGTTATCGTCGTGGTGTAAAGTCCAACAAATGCCTAGCGTCGTATACCCCGCCGCAATAATACATCCAGTCAGTCAGCTTCGTGACACCATCGTATGCATACCGTCTTCGAGTATCCCACAAGGATCGACACGTTACTTTGGCAACTTCAGTGGTTTTCCTTTGTTTTCCTTTGTTTTCAATAGTTTTAACTTACATATTTGTGTACGCTCCGATTGTCTTTTTGTCTTACTCTTTGTGTATTCCAAAAATCAATAAACGGTTATTTTCTCTTTATAAATAACCAGTGTCGACTTTGATTTTTGTTCTTTTTGTTTTTTTGCAACTTAAGACGCAACAACCGCTAAGCACGGTGGGTATACGCCCCAAGTAAGCGACTGGTTTTAGGCAGTTAGACTTAGCTTGCAAGACGTTTGGACACCTTGGAATAAAATGCACTACGTCACCACATTGTACCAATAATATATACATATCACCCATAAAATATAATATAAAACCTATAAAACAATCACAAAAAAATTCTAGATATAACATAACAGGTGGTCTTGTAACACGCCTGCTATGTTGCGGGACCTAAATAAAAAAAATGTAATAAAATAAAAAAAAAACTCGCCAGACGTGGTTGTGGCACAACGCACTAATAAAAAAAAAACAAATTCTGGCTCAAAACATTAAAACAAAACTTATACGTTACCAACCCCTAAGGACTACAGAAACTGGAGGCAAGTTTAGCCAACGCTAATAAAAAAAAATTTCATTACACAAATTATAGTAGCGGACACTCACGAAAAAAATATATATAAAATTAAAATGTTGCAGCGCACACAACAAAAAACTCACGCTACGGACGGGAAATAGTGCGGCCAGTTCCGAATATGGCTATTCCCCGACAAAACTTCTGTCGTTTGACCCGGCGGTCCGTTGCCGACAACAAGGCTAGCCTTTAGAGTGAGGTCAACAAATTTTAATACTCAGTGCCGGAAATTATTAAGAAAAAATTGAATTGTCACATATCATAAGGCGACAATGTAGGTGGTGAGCAGTGCAAATGACGTTCAAGATAGGAAAGAAGTGGGGTGTATGTACACACAAATGCAACCGGTTCGAAACAGTACACACTTGACTATCTCACACGTGAACAAACAAATCAAAAATAATATCTTTATATACAAATAGACAAAAAAAATAAACAGATACTTTTTGTCACGTTACAGAAATCCTCCTGAGAAGATTTGTAGTGAAACAACAAAACTTCTCAAAAGAGAGTAAGCGTGAGAAAAAAGTACCTTAGATAACTAGCAACAAAAATGAAATCAGCTTTAAATATAGATATATAGCTGATTTAACACTACAATAGGAACAACAATAGTACAAGAATATATATATATATATCTACGTTTATATATATTTATTCATTCAAATTACACCTTTGAACAATAGGTTACATTTATATATCCTTCGTTGGTTTGATACAAGTTTTTTATTATAATATAATCTCAAACGAGAAAAAGAAAACGAAAGTTCAAAAAACAAAAAAATAAACGCAACAATCAGTCGAGGCTAACGTCGGAAACAGAACAGATTTTATTATCAGAAATACTTTGTGACGTAAAAAATTGACCCATCATTATTAATATTGTTTAACAAAATAAGTTAATCACATTGTTATTGGTGAGCATCATAAAATTAAAAGTAACTGCTCACCAATTGTTAATACGGTGTTATTGTCTAGGTAGTATTAATTTCGTGGCGAATCAAAACTATCTTTGAGAATTAAAATTTAATAATAACTAAATTAAATCGTCCTAAATGATTCAGTCGCAAATTTCTTTTTTTTTGTATTTTTCTTGTTGTACAATCGTTTATAATAAATTATCATTGTGATAACAAAACGCCCAGCTGACCACTACAGTACTGTCAATAATGCAACCGGTCCCAAGTGTCTGTCAACTACGCATGCACTGATGTCGGCGTAGTTTCTCCTTTCGGCCCATGTGTGTCGTCGCCGTCAAGTGGTCTGGCCGTTTTTGTTCAAATGTGTTTTGGCTTGTCGTCTAATCTGTCTCCAGCCCAGCCATCTACTTATTTTTTTTTCGTATACTGAACATTTTATGGCACCTAACTTTTACTTTTGGCCCTGGCGTTTGAGCCATAGGTGAAGATTCATTTGTTGGCTACAGCCTGGACATCATGATGTTATAATTTGGTAACTTTGTACAGTATTCCCGTCTTTCTTTATTTTCGTCCATTTCATTGTTCCTCTATTCGTGCATTGTCACGAGGTTTCTTTGAAAATAACTTAAATTTATTTATTTATTTATTTTACGCCAACGGCATTTCAATATATACAATAAATTAAAGGTTAATGATAGTATTTACAACAACAAATATATATAAGATTATAAACATTACATGATAGAGTACAATATAAATTAAGAAAATGAACAATATATGTTTGCATAATAGCAGATATAGATTTAATAATTATTACTATGAGTTATTAAGTACACGGAGCATTCTATGCAAAGGATGATTATTGGAGTAATTAGTACTGTGAGAGGGAACAAGGTAAAGAGAGTGATATCTATTGTAATGTACAGGTACTCGGAAAGAAATGGAAGATAAAAGGTCAGAAGCTTCGACTGAACCACTAAGAAGTGAGGTGATAAATGAAATATCGGCATCTAATCGGCGAGAAGATAGGGTAGGAATGTTTAGGAATGATCTAACGGACGAATAATCATGAGGTGGGTGTTCAGCATTAAATAAAAAAGCGGCGTAGGATAGGAATCGGTTTTGCACTCTTTCCAAGCGTATTTGGTCTTTGGCCAGATATGGGTGCCAAACAACTATTCCATATTCCAGAATAGACCGGACAAGAGTGAAATAAAGAGAGCGTAGACAGGCATGGGACGTAAAAAGACTAGTATTACGCTTTAAGAAACCTAGAACTTTCAAGGCTTTACCAACTGTGATATTTAAATGCTGCTCAAAGGACAAAGATTGAGAAAGATGGAACCCTAAATCTTTAACGGTAGTGACACGTTCAAGAGGAGAGCCATTCATGGTATATTGATAAAAAATAGGAGTTCGTTTTCTATGAAAGGAAATAGTGTGGCATTTACTTATATTGAGCGAAAGGCCAATATGCTGAGTCCAACGAAAAAAAGAATCAATATCTGATTGAAGCTGGCTGCAGTCAGAGATGGAATCAACTTTAAGATAAATTTTAATGTCATCAGCAAATAGAAGGACTTTGGAGAATGAAAGGCAACTACTAATCGAGTTAACAAAAATATCAAACAAAAGAGGACTAAGATGTCCCCCTTGGGGAACACCAGAAGGAGTAATGACTGAGTCCGATGTAGCACCATTGATTTTCACAAATTGCCTTCTTGAACTGAGATATGACTGGAGCCATGATAGTAAAGGATTACCAATACCGAGCGATCCCAATTCAGAGATAAGACGTGTGTGGCTTACCGAATCAAAGGCCTTATTAAAGTCCGTGAATACGGCATCNACTTATCGAATCAAAGGCCTTATTAAATGACTTTAATATATTTTAATTATTTTAATATGATTATTCTATCTGATCTCTTGGCACATTTGCTCATTGACTATTGGTATATTAATATAAAATATCATTTTCTTCCATTTGGTAATTATATTTGTCATGTTGAGTGTAATAAAACCTCACATGTGTTGGACCAATCTAGACGTGCTTAGCAGTCTCAAGGCTCGGTATAAAAAGCCTAGATCCATATTGACCGATGTCAAGTTATTTATTTGAGCATTAATACAATGATAACCATTTAATTTTATTCAATATTGAAAAATACACTCCTGGGCCTCGGTCAAATCGAACATAGTCAATACACCAGTGTCAGAGATTATTTTCTCCCTCATTTCCTTTTTATTTTATTTATCCTTCAGATCATTTAATAATTTGTAAAAATTTTAACTATGACTTGAAATATGTTATATAAAAATATATGTAATTTTATTTTATTTCGAACATTTGTAATTTATAACTGACATTATTTTATTGTAATTCAGGCATCATTATTTTATTTAAACTTAAATTTATTATTAGTTTTTTTCATTATATAAAATAGAACATCACCACCCATATTACTCGTCTACCAGTTTTTAATTCCTTTTCCCCTAGAGTTATGATAAAAACTTAGTAAATTAGAAAAACAGGTGTGTTAGTTACATTTAAAATTCCACTATGCTCCGGTCTGGTACAGTCTCAGCTAGTGGTGGATCCAACTTCCTTTGATTTTGTGCTTCATCGGTGAAAGCCTCACCGTTAGAAGTCGGTGAACATCACAACATATTCGGCGGTGGCCTTGTCACGGTGTCAAGGGCAGGGAGACACACAATGGCAACCGATTGTCATATTTACTATAGGTGGACGGTTGATATCGAAAGAGACGCGGGTGCCTAGAGCGTAGCGTGGTGCAGTGTCAACTCTCCCCACTAAGCCGTCAGTCTATCTCTTGACCCGATCGACTTTTTTGTGAACAAATTGTCGCAAACATAAATCAGTAGTCATTAGTAATAACAATTGTCGACTTACCGTTATTTTTCTTGTGTGAGTATTTGATTTTGCGTTTAAGACTTACAGTATAAGACCGAAACAGTCAGTCTTGTTGGTATAGAAGAGTGGACTATTCGGTCCATGTTTTTTTCCTTATTGGACTGAAAAAGGTTCCCTATCGCTGCACCCGCACGTGATAGTTGGTCGGTTCTCCCGCACAGGGAAAACCTCAGCGACCACCGGTACATCGTGTATGAGTGCGGCGACGGTGGCCGTCCCCCCCGAGTCGTGCCCCGCGAGCCGTCTCGCGGTGGGCGAGTGGGCTGGCGGGGCGGACCTGCCATGGACGTCATCGCGTTTGAGACGGGCTTACTGCTCGCTCAATGGTCGGCGCCCGCGGTACCGGTCCGAAACGTCTTCGCAAACGAAGCGGCCGAAGAGTTGGACCGGAGGGTAGTCGCAGCCTGCAACTTCGCCCTTCCAGCCAAACGACCGCCGTCGACTTGCGGACCGCCAGTCCACTGGTGGAACGCCGAGGTAGCGGCCAAGCGTGAGGAGTGCGTCAGGGTCAGGAGGGCCATGACGCGCTCCAACCGTTGGCCGCGGGACCCGGAATCACCGGACCCGAGGGTAGCGCTGAGGTCGGCCCGCAAAGAGCTAAAGTTCGCCATCAGGCGGGCCAAAGCGAAGTGCTGGGCCAAACTCGTAAAGTTGGTGGATCACGACCCGTGGGGGAAACCCTATAGGGTCGTCATGCGGAAGCTCCGCGGTTCACCGGCTTCCGGTTAGCTGGAGGCGGAAGTGCTGGAAAGGGCGGTAGACACGCTCTTTCCAACACATCCACCTCTGCCTCTCCCGGCGTTCGGAGACGACGTGTCGGTGGAGGAATTCACCACTCAGGAGGTGGCTGACTCGGTGGCGCGCGTGCGGGGGCGGAACACGGCTCCCGGCCCCGACGCGATTCCAAACCGGGTGTGGGGGTTGGTAAACGACCTCGCCCCGGACTGGATACGTGCCGTCGCGAATAGCTGCCTCTCGGAGGGTGAATTCCCAACGAAGTGGAAGAAGGCCAGGCTGGTGCTTCTGAGGAAGGGTGACAAGCCCGAGGGTCTCCCCTCGTCGTACCGACCGCTTTGCATGTTGGACGACTTGGGGAAGATCCTCGAGCGCCTGCTCGTCACCCGGATCGAAGCCCACCTGGCCGACGTCAGCGGACTGGCCGAGGGCCAGTATGGTTTCAGGAGGGGGAGGTCAACGAACGATGCGGCCTCCCTTCTCAGGGACTTGGCCCTCAGGGCCATAACTGAGCAGGGCTTCGGGATGGCGGTGAGCCTGGACATCCGAAACGTGTTCAACTCCGTGCGATAATCACACATCCTCGGAGTGCTGGAGCCGGAAGGCGTGGAGGCTAGTCCAGGCGTTTGCCGAATCCATCTAGAAAAAGAAGGAGGAGCTGAACGCCTGAGACAGAGGCAGCCGCGCTGCCCGGTACAGGAGGACCTAAGGCGCAGGTTTAGGCCGGCGCCTTAGTTATTCGTGTTTATATGTTTTATGTTTTTGTGAGTTATTTTTGCCCCCTTCGCTTTTAATGGGGGTGGCCACACCACGTTGTGAATTTTAGAGACGGTGTGGGCCGCCTTGAAGTAATACCTAACGGTAGTTCTAGGGCGGCTCACAACTAATCGCGGAAAAAAAAAAAAAGTCACTAGCATATTTCTATTTTTATTTTATTAATTTTTGTTATAAGAATTATATTACATGCCAAACTCGGTTGAAAGCTTAAAAAACGTTCAGAAAAATGGCAGAACAGTACTGTGCTTTTTCGAGTGAAGATGCGATTGTGTCAGTTAATTTGTTGAACAATTGAGTATGCTATAAACCTAAATTAAGTGTCTGGGTATAGATTTTTAGCTCGTCATTTTTGGGTTATTAATGTACGAATTGTAAGTAGGGAGATTAATGAGAAAAGTGGATTTATTATTACTGGAATAAGTAGCAGAAATGGCAGCGGTTTGTATCGATTATGATAAGTTTTTTACCGCATCATATATATTTTGAGGAGTTATTAGTTTAATATTTAAATATGTGTTATCAGTTAGAATTTTTTGAAATTTTTCCCAGTTTGTTGCTTTTTTTGTTAGTGAAGGGTTACTAGATCTAATAGGAGGTGTTGAGTTAATTAATAACTCACTTACAATCATTAAATTTTAATAACAATTCTGTTATTACATTATTTAAACGTTCTTTTATTTTTTAATTATATATACATCATTTACATAATACTATTTCAAAATTTTACTATTATAATACTTAAATAAAATTCTTGATAAACAGTTTTAAACAGTTTTAAACATTTTTTTATAATTTTTTTTTTTTTTTAATTGTTACTTAATTAATAATTATACAATATTTTTAATAAAATATTATTTTAGACAAATTAAAAAGTGTCAAAAATAAACTTATTTCACAAATAACTTTTAAAAAATTATAGTATAATAATTATATTTAATTTTCTATTTGAGTTGTATTTCTTAATCATCACCTAATCAGACAACATAAAAAATGTTCACTATTATTTTAATACAGAACTTAAAATAGATAATCATAATTATACAAAATACAATAAATTTAATTAATAAACAAGAAACAAAACTTTTATTTCTCCAAAATTAATTATAAATTTTTTTTTAACTGCTTGAAGAATATTTTCTTATGGAGTTATTTTCAAAAATTTTAATTTTTCCAATACGAATAAAAAAAATATATATTTAATGTTTAATTTAAAGTTATTTAATTAGTACTGACTTGTATCTTGAGGAGTAGTATTGTCATCTAAATAAATAATCATTAAATTAGCGATTTTGAACTTATCCAATGTATATTAAAATTATGTATACTTATTTAAACAAGTTCAATAAAGATAATATAAATAAAAAATAATATTTTTTTAAAAAATCAATGTAATCAATAAATACGATTTTAAATAATATAATATAAAAAGTAAGAAAAAAAATTAATATTATAAAAGCTCAATACTACGGCTAGTAAATCAAATGAAAAATCAGCATTGTCTAATTTGTTTGAAAGTGTTCTATTGGGAGGAGCATGCACAATCCTCTCGAGGAGTGTGCATATTAATATTAATAAAAATAATGGAAATTAAAATTTTTAACGGTACACTAAACGGTATACAGTTTAGTAATTCAGAACAGTCAATAGTATTATTCAATAGTTCGAAAATTTTTAATATCATTATTAAATATTTTATCATATAAATATTCCAATATTATCACTTATGTACATACTTATATCTAGAGGAGTCGTATTTTCATCTAAAATGAACATTGAATTAGTGATTTTCAAACCTAATTTTTAAATCTTAATCACATTTCCCCTTCTTACCAGTATGATCTGAAGTAATATCTGTTGTAAAAAATGTCGTATGTTTAAATGTATTTTTTTTAAATATTTCTTGATAAATCTACCACCCATTATGTCATTCAGAGAAAATTATTTAATGTAAAATTTAAAGTTCATTAGTCAAGCACTTACGTGTTTCTTGTCATATTGTGATTATGGATACCCAGAATCCCGTAAATATTTTGTGAATGAGATGTTTACATATATTAGTACAAATTGAATAACTATTTAGTTATTGTTATGATGCTGTATGTTGCATTTATGTCATCAGGGTGTTAAATCATTAAAATAATTATTATTTTAATTACATTTATAAGTATATTATTTATTATACTTAATATAAGTAAAAAATAGTTTATTTTAGTAATATCATCATAAATAAAATACTCTTTAATGACATGTAATAGTGTGTTTTTTTTATTCAATTTCTCACTTTTTAGTATGTATTAAAATTAATTTAATAATTCTTAACTAATTTACAATTTAAGGTTCTTTAATTTAGTACTTACCTACAACCAAAGGATTGACATCTAAACAAGTATATAAACGTTAAATAAGATTTATATAACCTATTCTATACAGAGTTTATAACTAAATGACTGAATGATAACATCATTTAGACTGCTATTTCAGAAGTCATTAACATTTTATAGTCGATAAGAAGAGTAAAACCAAGAAATGTCGAGTAATAAAAATAACAGCTATTAATGTATACTATAATATTAAAACATTTACAGTCTATCAAAGTTAATAAAAAAAAATCCAGCATAGTGGTGACGTGTCATAGTTAGGTCCAGTGTAGACGGTATCTGACAGTCATTAAAATCACTATCATAAAAAAGCCTTCAAAGTACATTTGTAGATAATGTTTAATTTAAAAAAATTAATGGATTATTTCAAAAGCTACATGATATTCTATTTTTTAGTTTATATTCTGATTATAAGTTTTATGATTTATTAAGTATAATATATAAATATATATATATATATATATTAATAATATATAAATATAAATAGTACTTATATTAAATAAAATATAATGATCCATACATTTTTTAAAAAGTTATATCTAAAAAATTATATCTAATAAACAAATAAAGTTACACTATTAATTCAAATGTCATTCACTATTAAATTAAGAACTAAAACATTTTATTAAATTTAAGGGAAGAACTTAAAAAGTATTACACAATTAATAAATCAAGAATAATGTGTAACTAAAGATAACCAAAAATTTAAAACGTTTAAATTATATTTATTTTGTAAGTTATTTAGTATGTTATGATAACAAAATCACTCTGTATAAGAATTTTATTCTCAATGTAATATTTTTCGTAATACTTTCAGGTTTTTTTGAAAAAATCATATTTTATATAAATTCTATTCAGGCACGTAGCCAGAAAATGTTTATTGGAGGGGCCAACAATTTTGTGCCTTGTATCATTTTCCATAATTTGTTTCCCATGAAAAGCTTGTGTGGGAGGCTCCCTCCACTACTCCTTAGACAGTATCCCATTGTATGAATCTTACAAGTTCAAAATTTGTGTTTATTTTTAAAAAATTGGTGTTTTATTCCAAAAGCTACTTGATCTGCTGGTTCCTTAATATCTCGATTAAGATAAAGTATGTCAAATGAAAAAGGGTTTATTAAAAAATATTATTTCTCACAAAAAAATTGTGTGGATCCATAAACTTTTCAATAAGTTATAGCATTATAAAGTTAAAAATGTAAAATATAAAATCGAGAATTTTCACACAAAAATAGCATTCGGTAGCCATTTTCACCGTGAAGAAAAAATAAAGTCCGAATTTTTTTTTTCCATAATACAATACATTATATTAGCTTTAATTTAAGATATATATATACAGGATGATTTTTTTATCATAACCCCCCACTCAATTACTTACAGAATAATAATAATTTAAAATTTTTTTTTTATTACTATCTTTAGTTACACATTATTCTTGAATTATTAACTATGTAATACTTTTTAAGTTCATCCCTTATACCTGGTAAGGGTGTCAACTTTGTTGTTTTAAATGGTAACACGTATTTTTAATTTAATCAAATGATTGAGTTTTTAATTCAATAGTAAATGGCATTTGAATTTTTAATGAAACTTAATTTGTTTATTAGATATAAACATTTAAAGTTTCAAATTTTTGAGTTAAAATATAGGTATAATACACAAGGGATTACAAATACAGATAGCTAATTGATTTTTTATGTTATAAAAAAAAATACAAAGTGATAGGATAAGATATCTTATGTATCATTAAAATAAAATTATATCAATTTAAAATGTTTAAATCTACACTGGACCCAATTATGCTACATCTATACTATGCCGTGACCTCACTGTGCTGGGTTTTTTTTTTCGTAATTTCATTATGGATAATCAAATGTTTTGTAATAGTGATGGTAATAATTATTAGATATCATTTAAAATTATATAATATTTTTCTCATTTTAAATGTCTATCTATCAACAATTTAAAGTATTTTCATAGTATAAACATGTCAAAGAATATAAACATTTGTAATTTTACTCACAACTATAAAGTACAATCAATGGATAACCGACTACACCTAAAAATTACAATATTTTATTAATAACATAAAACAATACTTTTTATAGTATATGTTATTTTCAACATTTTAAAATTGTACGTAGGAAAAATTATCAACTTGTGCTGTTATTGAACTATCTATGATATTGAGTTTAACTCAATATAACAAATTATAATGATTGCACTAATAACATTATAATTAGAACAACAATGTGTATAATTTTAAACGTAATAAACATTAAGGATAAATAAATTTAAATTTAAATCTTTTACTGTGAATACTATGTATTATTGTGATTATGGATACCCAGAATCCCGTAAATATTTTGTGAATGAGATGTTTACATATATTAGTACAAATTGAATAACTATTTAGTTATTGTTACGATACTGTATGTAACAAGCAGCCCCTTAATAATAAAGGGGAATGGCCTATTACTGTGCAGGTGGGGTTGTTTATTTTGTTGAAATCAAAATGCGGAAATAAGAGGGGGTAATAAATAGGTACACCTAATTATGATATTATAAATTATGAACTATATATTATCGATCTACAAATGAAATTCTTAAAAATAAAGGGAAAGGGGGGGGGGTAACTTACATACGAAACAATCTTAATATTATCAGTAAGGCCTAAGGCGAGCAGTTACTAATTGTACGGATGCGCGAGACAAGTGTACTGTTTACGTACCAAAGAGAGAGTGTTGCTCGCTGAGGAAGTAACGATGACCGGACGATTCATTAACACGTTCGAACCGGTCATACACGCGTACTACACTCTACCCAACACTGTATGTTGCATTTATGTCATCAGGGTGTTAAATAATTTAAATAATTATTATTTTAATTACATTTATAAGTATATTATTTATTATAATTCATTTTAAGTCATCATTTCACTGATGAATAGATTATCCAGAGAATGTAAAAATTTTACTTTAGTACAAATCAAAATATTTTTGAAGAAAACAAATTTTGTATTTTAAAATACAAAAACACAATGGAATATAAACCTTAGACCAAATAAAATAAATGTTTAGATACAATATTAAGGAAATGACATAAAAAATATAAGTAAAAAATAGTTAATTTTAGGAATATTATCATCATAAATTAAATGATCTTAAATTTTATGTAATAATATGTTTTTTTATTTATTAAATTTCTCACTTTTATAATATGAATTTGAAATTAGTTTAATTACAAAATTAATTAATTTACAATTTAAGGTTCTTTATTTAAGTACTTACTTACAACACGAGTAGTGATGAGCAAAATTACTCTTGTTTTTGCGGTCTTGGCTTGGTCTTGCATTTTTACGAGACCAAGAACAAGACCAAGACTGTAATAATATCAGCAAGACCAACATCAAGATTGTACTCAATTGACAAGAACAAGACCAAGACCAAGAGTCAAGATATGTTACACTCCCTCAGGTTATTGTTTCATTTAATCTTTTACTTGATAAAGTGGAGAGCACCATAAAAAGATTGAATGATTAAATCAACCGAAATTCAATAGACAAACAACTTATTGAAGGGTTTATTGCAACAAGAGATAAAATGCTTAAATATTATAAAAAAAACAATTGGATTTATTGTGTAGTACTTATTTTAGATCCCAGACACAAATTTGAAACTTTTGATCTGAAATCGTGAGGAAGAGAGATTAAAAAAGAGAGCCTTCAAAAGTTTGAAGAGTTGTACGAAAAATATTTAAACCAAGAACCTATTGAGCCTGAATTGATAACTAGAGACAGTCAAGAATATAATTTAGATAACGAAGATATCATATATTTCAATAAATCATACTCGTCTACGTCTATATCTACATATCTTCAAAATTCTAGACGAGAATTAGATATTTACTTTAGCCAGCCAAGAATTGGAGGTAATGAAGATATTCTGCAGTAGTGGAATCAAAATCAATGTCAATTCCCAATATTATCAAAAATGACTCGAAATTACTTATCCATTACTTTGACTTTTTTCAAAGGCATCACTAGTTATACGTAAACATAGGAATAGGCTCAATAATGAATCTGCCCAGTGGCTTTTATGTATTAACTCTTGGACAGAAACAATGTCCAAAAATAAATACTAATTTAACGTTTATTTTTTTATGATTAATTTTTTGGTAATAGAAGTTGCTACACCATTGTTTGTTTTTTGTAACATGGATTACCACGATGTAAATGATTAGAAAACCATTGTACACCAATTCCCTCTACATTAATATTATTTTATTACTTGTAATTATTAATATACCTATTATTATTATTTGTTATATCAAAATGTTATATTTTGCGATACTACAATAATAGACCATGTTCAATATAATTTCTTTTTATTTAAAATATAATGCAATATGTATTTATAATATTAATAAAATGAAATTGTACGAAATTTTATTTGTTTATTTTTTTTTAATACCCCAAACTGTTCATAAAAAAATCATTCCTATTGTTTATGCTAATATTAAGTTCTCACTTAAAAATTCTATGGTATATAAACTAAATTTGAATTGACAAACTGAAGTAGGTAACTTCGTCATTTAAACCTTTTAAGTAGAAAATTTTTACAAATATAAATAAATGCAAGACTTTGCAAGAGTGTTGTGACAAGACTCACAACAAGAACAAGATTTTATGGGCAAGACCAAGAACAAGAACAAGACTAGACTTGCAAGACCAAGACTGAGTTACAAAGCAAGACCAAGTCCAAGAAACAGCTATCAATAACAAGACTAAGACCATGACTTTGACTATCTTAGTCTTGTTCTTGTTTTGCTCATCACTAAACACGAGGATTCCCATCTAAACAACTATATAAACATTGAATTAGATTTATATAACCTATTCTATACAGAGTTTATAAGTAAATAACCGGTCGATAACAGCTTTTGGACTGCTATTTGAGAAGTAATTAACATTTTTATAGTCGGTAGGTAGAGTGAAACCAAGAAATGTCGAGTGATAAAAATAACAGGTATTAATGTATACTATAATATTGAAATATTTAAAGTCATGGAAAAAGTTTCCTCCTGAAAATTGTATTTTTGATTAACCCGTTAATTTAATTTAATCAAACAAACATAGTTGTTACATTTTTCAGTAATTCCGTTATTAAAAAATAGAAATTTACGTCTGTTATTCAAAAATAAAACTTTTTATCATTATTTATTAATACTATCCAGTAGATATCTTCAAAGAATTTCGTTAAAACCTGTTATAACCTTAGTAATATCATCATTCATAATTGAATTCATCTTAATGGCATACAATAATATATATTTTTATACTATAAAAATATATGTTATTACTTTTTAAACTCATATGTTCAAAATTTAAATTTTTTTTGGATATTTCATGATAAATTTGCCTAAAAAGTAATTTATGTTTAATCAATTTTATATATTGACGAAGTTTTTTCATTATTATCATTATCATTATTATATTTGTCCATGAAAATGTATCCTCAAATGTTATAAATTTTTTTTTTTTGTAAGAAAAAATAGTCACTGACTTGAAGTCATCTTCAGATCTAAATAACAAATTCTTTATTTATTATTAACATTTTCCCCTCTTACCAATATCTGTATCCTGATTGATATCTAAATAACAAATAAGTCAAAATAATATACTTTTGGTAATATCAAGTGGATATAAATCAAATTATAATTTACTTCTTATAGCTTCGAACAACATATTTACTAAAAAAAAAAATACAATGTATGTTATACATTGTCTTATATGTTCAAAACTTTAAATGTATAAATATATGTTTTTGAATATCTCATGAAAAATCTGCATAAAAAGTAATTTATGTTAAAAGAATTTTGTATATTATAAACATTTATTATTTTTATATTTTGAAAATTTTTTTCTTTTTTTCCAAACGACTGGCATTATTGTTGGCCGCCCTGGAACTGCCGTGTGGTAATACTGCAGGGCGGCCAGCTCAACCTATCCAAATGGATAGGATTATCGTAGGCAAACCAAAAATTGATAAGGTTTAATTACAATTATATGATATTTTTAATATTTGTCCATAAAAATGTATCCTCAAACGTTATACTTTATATTTTTTATAAGAAAAATTAGCCACTAACTTGAAGTCATTTTCAGATTTAAATAACAAATTCTTTATTAATTATTAACATTTTCCCCTCTTACCAATATTATCTCTAGTATGGTTGATATCTAAATAATAAATAGGTTATAATAAAATATTTTCAGAATTATCTAATCCATTAAATTATTATTTACTTCTTATAGCTCTGCGCATGTCATTAGCTAAAAAACAAACATTTTATGTTTACTTATTTTTTCTTACAAACTTATACAAAATTTTAAATGTATAAACGTAATTCTTGTTGTATATATTTTTGTAAACAAACAAAACTGATAACGCTTCATCACAATCATGTGGTTTTTTTCAATATTTGTCCATGCAAATTGTGATAGTTCATGCTTCAAAAAAACATTTTTAATCATGTTTGATACACATTGAGAGGGAATTACGTTAGTTTTAAAAAAAAATACGCGAATATTTGATCGGTATGAGCAAGTCAGTGGGTCATACTGTGCACGATTATGTCTGTCATGACAAGTATGCCATTGACACCTGAAATAATTTATTGTTGATCTGCAGCAATCTTGTTTTAATGATGACAGACTCACTTTTAGAAATGTATGGTCATATTATTCATAAGTTAAAAATAGTTGACCAAATTCTAATCGCCGATACTAAAAATTAAAATATAAGAAGTATTGCTCAATTTAGTTTAACTAATCATCACCAAATAATTGAAAAACTGCGTATGATTTTATAATATCAAAACTATGCTACTATTGTCTTTGTTAGCATTTCGCACACTGTATGACACTTAATTTCAATTTTTATGCAAAATTGGATACAAATCTTTTGATCCATATTTTTAGCAAACGAAAATCGCCATTGCTTGTGTATGCTGTCGAGCTCATAAAAACACGTCTAACCTTAAAGCTGAAAATTTTATCATACTTCAAGGACAAATGTACCAACATTACGAAGAAATTTTTTTTGATAATAGACTTTCCAAACCCGTAAAATTTTAAAAACCTCGTTATTTTTTAAAAACATCTCTATAATATAAGACTTGATTACCAAATATTAGATTTTACTTTCCTTTTACAAATGTGTAGTCATATTATTCATTAGTTAAAAAAAACATTACTAATCTCTAATAGCCGTTTCTAATGATAAAAATATAATCGGCATTGCGCAATTTAGTTTAAACAATCTGCGACAAATAAGAGAAAAACTACGTTCAATTTTAAATATATTTTATGAAATATATCACTATTTAATGTTTATAACAACGCTACTGTAAAAAATACATATTCAATTTTTTTTTCTGTGTTAAAAATACTGTATTTTTAATTTTAAATCACTGGGCCTAATTAAATATTAACTAAGTAAACTAAAGACAATAAACTTTCCTTTAGTATATTGAGTATAAAAAGTTCAATTAAAATCTATTTTTCCACTATAAGAATTTGGCTGTTAAATTAGAAATTTTGAAGCAAAAATTTATAAGAATAACTAGCGTCAAACTTAAAGCCACATTAATATCTCAATAAAGAATTCCATGAATATTAATATTATATATCTATCTTACCAGTAAAAACTGAAGTCCTGTTGGTATCTAAATAACAATTAAGTCAAAATAATATACTTTAAGTAATAACAAGTGGATATAAATCAAATTATAATTTACTTCTTATAGCATCAAACAACATATTTACTAAAAAAAATACAATTTATGTTTAATTTTATATGTACAATCTTATATGTTAAAAATTTTAAATCTATAAATATATATATTAGAATGTATCATGAAAAACCTGTATAAAAGTAATTTATGTATAAAGAATTTTGTATATTGATAATGTTTTTTCATTCTTAAATTTGGAAAAATGTATGGAATTTGTATAATTTTGTGATTTTTTAAAAATTTGTCCATGAAAATTCTTGATTAAATTGATAATTTATGTTTTAAAAAAACATTATTAATCAATTAGCACCAGATATTAGAAAATAGGCATTCCATTTTAAACATTTTATTAAGTATATCATAACTATGATACTGTAAAAAAGGTATTTTCAAATTTTATTTTTCATTTAAAATTACTGTAACTTTATTTTTAAATCACTGGTCATAATAACATTTTAACCGAGTAAACTAAAGCCAATAAACATTCTTTTGGTAGCTTACTATAAAAATTCTATGAAGTTTTATTGTTTCATTATAAGAAATTGGGCATAAATTTTACATTTTAGTAATTACAAAATTATTAATATTGATATTACTGTGACATTTAACATCTTTGCATCGAAGCCTTTTTATGATAGTGATTTTTATTTCAGTTGAATATGTTCTATACTTGTAACAAATATGTCGCGACCCTTATGTACTTGGCTATCCTTTTTGACTTTAATTTGAGAAAAAGTTTTTTGAAATAAAATAATTGTAAAATTATAAATACCGTTTTTGATACTTTAATATAATACGTGATTTAACTATAATAAGCTATTGTTCTACTTGTATTGTGTTACAGATCTGTTTAATATTTGGTGATCTTGGTCAAAACCAAGATTTTCATGAATAGTAAACCTAAACAATGCTTATTTTTTTCAAGTATATTAAAAATTCATTATAATTAATGTTTTTGAGTGTAATACTTGAAATAAAAAAACCAGTGACTTTTTCCAAAAATTTGTTATTATTGGCTTTTAAATCAATTAACTAAAAAAAAATTTCGCAACAAAACAATTCTTTTGTTATTCATCAATATATTCAAAATGTTAATTTAAAAAAAATAAGGAATTATAAAGTAAGTATAATACTCTTTAAAGTTCTTTAGTTAAATACTTAGTAAAACTCGATAAATTCCATCTAAACAAGTATATAAAAAACACTGAATTAGCTATGTTTATAGAAAGAAATTCGAAGTATAATAAAAACGTAAAACAATTATTTAAATAAATAAATTTGTTAATCTCAAATGATATATTTTTAAATTTATGTAACAAAACAGCTTTGAAATTAATGTCATATTAAGATATAAATAACAAATTCTATGTGAATTAATAACATTTTCCCATCTTACCAATATTATCCGAAGTCGTATTGAAAGCTAAATAATACAATATTATTAATATTATCCAGTGCATATAATTAAAGTACATTATCATTTACTTCTTATAGCTTCGATCAAGTAAGGAGCTAAAACAATTACATTTTATATTTATTTTTTTTTTACAAACTTATGTATACGAAATGTTAAATGTATAAACTTAATTTTTTTGAATGTCTAATCATAGGCAATCGGAAACTTGCTACACATTGAGATGGATTACGTTAGTTTTTTATAATTAATATAAGAATGTTTAATTAGTATGGATAAGTTAAGGGGAAAATTAAGTGGTATTTGAGTTAGCAAGTTAGGACAATTAATATTATTTTCAATGGTTTTTAAAATGGATTTATCTAGTGTTTAGTTATATTTATATAAATACTATTTACTTCTCATATATTGGACCAGGTCATTTACTAAAAAAATGTATTATTTAATATAAGTTAACACAGAACAAGCTTAGATTAAATCTATTCTATATAAAATAAAATAGGCTAAACAGATATCCTATATTAATTTATAACCTTAAACAATAATTATTAAACACAAATACGTTATTTTTTAATAACTTATTTTTACAATTTTAGTAGGAAAATTTATTTTCAAACATAACGCCACATAAAGATTTATTTTATAAATTAAATATATATTAATAACTTTTCCTCTTTTTACCAGTATAATTTGAAGTCGTATTGATGTCTAAAAAATAAATAAGTTAAAATAATATACTTTTAGTATTATCTAGTAATAAATCAAAATATTATTTACTTCTTAAAGATTCACCCAAGTCATGTACTAAATAAAAATACATTACAGTAATTATACATATACGATCTCATAGTATAACATCTTACCAATATTATCCGTAGTCGTATTGATATCTAAATAATAAAATATTTTTAGTATTATCCAGTGCATATAAATGCATTAAATTATCATTTACTTTTTACAGCTTCGATTAAATCATTTGCTAAAACAAATAGATTTTATGTTTATTTTTTTTTTACAAACTTATGTATACGAAATGTTAAATGTATAAACTTAATTTTTTTGAATGTCTAATCATAGGCAATCGGAAACTTGCTACACATTGAGATGGATTACGTTAGTTTTTTATAATTAATATAAGAATGTTTAATTAGTATGGATAAGTTAAGTGGAAAATTAAGTGGTATTTGAGTTAGCAAGTTAGGACAATTAATATTATTTTCAATGGTTTTTAAAATGGATTTATCTTCTTTTTAACTTATATTTTCAAAATATTTAATTGAATAAACTTAATTTTTTTGAATATCTTATGAAAATCCTGCCTAAAAAGTAATTTTTCTATAAAGAATTTTGTATATTGATAATGTTTATTCATTCTTAGATTTTGAAAAATTAATAGAAATACGAGCTTCATTAAATATAACTTATATGAGTACTACCAATAATTGGAAAATCTACATTCAATTTTAACCTATAGTAAAATGTAGCCAAATTACTACTTCAAATAGCTATTATAAAAAAAGGCTATTCAACTTTTTTTTCATTCTAAATTTACTATAACTTTATTTTTAAATTATAAAGAATTTCTGGTCCAAATAAAATTTTAATTGAAGACAATACACATTTCTTTAGTATTTTAATATGAAAATCTATTTTTCCACTATGAAAAATTAGGCGTTAAACTGGAAATTTTTAGGCAAAAAAATTTATAAGAAGAATTAGCGTCTAACGTAAAACTACATTAAGATCTAATTAACAAATTCCATGTATATTAATATAATTTCCTCATCTTACCAGTAAAATCCGTAGTCGTATTGGTATCTAAATAATAAATAAATAAGTCAAAATAATATAGTTATAGTAATATTAAGTGGATATAAATAAATTATAAGTTACTTCTAATAGCTGCGTACAATATATTTACTAAAAAAAATACAATATTTGTTTAATTTTATGTTTTTAATATTTTTGAATATCACATGAAAAAACTGCTTAAAATGTAAATTTTTATTTAAAGAATATTGATAACGTTTTCCATTCTTAGATTTTGAAAATACTGGCTACTTTAAATATAGCTAAACTTGTCCAAACGGGTAGGATTATCGTAAGCAAACAGAATATAAAATGGTACTGATATTACAATTATGTTATTTTTTAATTATTTGATCATATAAATTCTAAACTGATTTTATAAGTTTATGCTTAAAAAAACAAGAGAATTTCTTTCAAAACAAATATGAAAAAACACCAAATAAGATATGTTTTAACCTATTCTATATAAATAGAATAGGTTGAAGAGATATGCGATCTATATTAATAACGTAAAACAATAATTTTATAACTTAAATATATTATTCTCAAATGTTAGATTTTTTAATTTTATGTATGGAAAATTAGCCTCTAACTTGAAGTCATATTGAGATATAAATAACAAATTCTATATATATTAAATACATTTTCCCTTCTTACCAAGTGTATCGGCAACCGTATAGATATCTAAATAAAAAATAAAGTTAAAATAAAATATTATTGAGTGCTTATAAATCAATTAAATTATTACTTACTTCTTAGAGCACCTCTCATACTATTAGCTAAAAAAAATACATTTAATTTTTTTTTACAATCTTATATGTTCAAACATTTTTTCAATGTAGTGACAAGACTTAAGCGGTTGTTAATCAGTTGACACCGGTTGTCTCCCCGCCCTTGACAATGAGATAAGGCCGCCGCCGAATACGGATTACTGATATTGCGTTCTGTTCCGTTTCCGACGTACACCCTAACTGGTTACCCGTTATTTTTGTCGTTTCTTCTTAAGTTGGTTTTTCTGGTGTTCTGTGACGATAACTCGAGACCGATACCTTAAGTAAGCTGTGTAGTATACTATATCTATATATATACATTTGGATTGTGTAAGAAATATATCCGTAACGGCTAGGGTAGTCGATCGAGTAAATATATATACTATATAATATACAATATAATAATAATATCCAGTGGATATAAATCAATCAAATTATTATTTACTTGTTAAATTTGTAGACAATACATTAGCTAAAAAAAAATATATTTTATGTTTAAGATTATTTGTATGATCTTATATAAATAATAATTCTTTACTTTTCCATCTTAAAACTCCTCAAAAAGTAACTTTTGTATGGAGATCTCTGTATATTATTAAGGTTATACGTTGTTGGAAATTATCCAAAAATTGACATACACCGGTATGATATTTTTAATATACACAAAACTTTAATACACAGTCAGTGTAATTTTGACAAGTATTGAAAAATCGTTAAAAAATAAAACATTTTTACTATCAATAATACAATATTATCATTATATTGTATATATAACATCAAGATGTTCGTTAAAAACTGTTATAACCCATCGTTGATTAATGAATTAATCTTAAAATGCACATAATAATGTATGTTTTTATATAATAAAGTTACTAATTTATTTTATGAATAAATAAATAAGATCTTCAACTTTATAATTTATATAGCATAATATTTTAGTGTCATCCTTGAAAACTGTTTCCGACGTACACCCTAACTGGTTACCCGTTATTTTTGTCGTTTCTTTTTAAGTTGGTTTTTCTGGTGTTCTGTGACGATAACTCGAGACCGATACCTTAAGTAAGCTGTGTAGTATACTATATCTACATATATACATTTGGATTGTGTAAGATATATATCCGTAACGGCTAGGGGAGTCGATCGAGTAAATATATATATATATAATTACATAACGAACTGTTCGTATTGCTACGATCGTTTCTTCCTTTACGCTATTTATTTTATGTTATCGTTGTAAAACTATAAGTTATACATATATTAACGAGATAACCTGTTCGATCGCATTATTGGATACGCGTTAAGTGGCTCCCCGAAAAAGGAATCTAAACCGGCCGAGAGAAGTTAAGGTAAAAGGCTTTGAGCCGAATGAGTTTTATTTCTAATTATATTAGATTTTAGTTTTAACTTGAAACGGTGAAGTCTCCCTAACAAATTTGATTGTTCATATAGTTATTTGAACGAATTTCATTGGTGACAGCAGTGAATTTTTACTTGGGTTATTCACAGTTACGTGTTAGCGGGATTAGATTTAGCCTGGGCTCTGGGAAAATTTTCTTTTATAAAAATAAAGTTAGAGCAGTTTATCTAATATAATCCACCGTAAGTATTGTCGTTTAAAAGTGTTGGTTACAGTTAGTTATAAAGACCTTATTGATATCGACAAGAAGTTAATTTCCGGCCAATAGTTACAGTGTTGTGGTAGATAAAAATAGTATATTTTCGTCTGACCTTGTCAGAGCGGTTGATTCCCAGGTAACCGTTATTATTGTTCACTTGCTGCCATATCATATACGGCGGCCCCGTACCCTCTTATCGCGGTACTTTATAACAACAATAGCAATAATAATAACACTTGTTTTCTACAACAGTAGTAAATTTGACTGTACACGGAGATATTGTTTATCCCCGCTATTATAGTAACATACATTTGATTATTTAGTTTCGTAAATAAACATATAATTCACGGTCAATATGTCGGGGAAATTATTAGCACAAATTAATTGCGCTGAATTACGTCGCAAATGCGTTTTTAGACAGCTACCATGTTACACGACGAAACCCAACATGCTAATTATGCTAGAGGAAAACATACGTAGCGAAGGGAGGAACCCAGCTACTGAACTATTACCGCCCCGTACGCCGCTCGATAGCGAGATTCCGGTCCGCGAACCCGAAATGGGGGTTTTAGACAACTCGACGAACTGTGTCAGCGAACTCGACGCGAACTATCAGCGGCCCGGCGTAGCACCTTTACCGGAGGAACATCCGGTGAACCTTGCACTACGCACATCAGACGACGAATCTGATGTCGAACAGCTGGGGGAAATTACGCGCACAAGCGGTCAACTAGGCGCGCCATACGTCGAGGACGTATACGTTGCCCGCTCGATAGCGCACGCGGCAGAACAAGTCGGGGCGATCTGACAGAACATTCGCGACATTTCGAATAACGCGCGGATCGAGGCACGCATGAGTGAAGTAGAAAGGTCGCTGCCGCGCATGTCAATGGAACAGCGACAGATTTCGAACATGCTGGAGCGAATCAGTCAAAATATGCTGTCGCCCCCACATGTTGATGCACAACCGACTATTCGTCAAGTTAACGTCGAACGAAACGATAGTCGACGAACGGACGCGCATCGCGTTACATTCGGTCTATCGGAAGCGACGGACCCGACGCGACACGACGCAACACTACACGAGCGCCTCGCGGACATCGAAGTGCAAGAAACCCGCAACATGAGACGGTCGTACGAACAAGCGTCGCTACCACGAATGTGTAGCACTGGTTGGCAAGACGAACATTATCCGCACACTCATACATATGAGAACGAGCCGACCGATTTTTCGTTTACGCGCCAACCACGGAAGGGGCAATTCAGCTCAACCGATGGTCGTCGGTCTTTCAATGATTTGTCGCCTACCCGCAGCTCGCGGTCTATGTGGGTACCTTACCATGACCTACGCACCATACGCGCCTGTTTACCTGAATATTACACGGGAGTTTCTGGACAGAGCGGAAGATCTATTCTGTCAGGGCGGTATACACCCAACCGCGTGGGTGAATATCGTCGTCCCGTTTCTGAACGACAGGGCAAGTAATTGGTGGCGAGTGAATAAGTTAAACAATATGCCATGGGCGGAATTTAGGTCCGAATTACTCGGGGAGTTTGACAATATCGATATCAGGACTGCGCTCGAGACGGACTTAAAAATGACGCGACAGGACCCCCGACAAACTTTAACTGAATTTATCATTCATAAACAACGTTTGGCCGTGCGAGTACGTTGTAGTTTACCGGAGCAACAACTTGTGCGACAGTTAACGGGGCTTTTACGGGACGATTACTGCGCTATGATAAGGTTAATGCACCCAGCGTCTTTCGCCGATCTACGTGAGATAGCGCACGACGTAGATAAAACCGCGGCTCCGCGGTACGCTTCATTAGCGTCCCGACAACCAGCTGATCTGCCTCCGCGGCATACCGCGCAACCAGCGGCCCGACAGCAAGCGGGTTATGCAAACGCGGACGCACCGCCTACCCCGTGCCGATATTGTGGCGAGCGACACTGGCACCGCCAGTGCCCAAACAGACCGTCGGTGTTGGGAAACGGCAATCGGCTAGGAGGGAATTAGTCCGCCCCTCCAGCCAACAACAGAACCAAACAGGGCGCAGCGTTTTAGACGACGTTTCATTTAAAACGCGCCCTGCCGCTTCGCAATTTTTATTCGGTAACATATCACGCATCACGACTGTCGCGCAGAACACCGAATCTAACGGCCCTTACGAGTTACATACCGCCAACGATCTTGGCACTTTTTCGGCACCGCACCCCTCTTATTGGAATGGAGGGGACGCCGCGGTAAATTCGGATGTAATCAGAGTATCGGAGTTCGAACACGCTGCCAACACGAACGACCAAAGAGCGAGTCAGGTGTTTGAAATTTTTTCGGGCACAGTGGGGGAGGGGGTGTCAGTCGATCCGGCTAGTCCACTAATGGCAGTTAACACTGTCGGTGGGCAAACCGACGTCGCGGTTAAGAACCAGCTGCCCCCCGTTCGAACCGTAAACCACCTGAGTAATGGCCAACGAAAATGCCCGCGTAGAATTACTACTCCAGCAGTCGAGTTAGAATTCGAAACTGGCTTCGTCACAGCCCTACTCGACTCACANTGAAACTGGCTTTGTCACAGACCTACTCGACTCACAGGCGTATAAATCGTATGTAAAACCGGTAATAGCTTATAAATACGGAACTGTTTATAAAGGACACACTAACGCGGTTAGACTAGCGGACGGACACACCGCCATGACGAACGGTACCGCCACGTTTACCGCCAAAATCGCGGATCTACAAGTGCGTTTTTCAGCGGTTATTTTAGACGACCTATATTGCGACGTATTACTTGGTCATGGTTTTCTGATTGATCAGAAAGTCGCTTGGGACTACTCAGCAGGAACAATACACTTAGGCAATAGGAAACGTACAACCGCTTGTTGGAAATCAGGCGCACGACACACGATCCGCAAACCAGATCTGACGCAGTTAGATATAACCGGCGACCCACGGACCCGCGCGTTATTAACACAGACTGTTCAAAACAGCACATGTTATCTTCTCATCAGTCGGTATTGATAACGTGTACCGGTTGAACACGGAGGTAGTGGTGGTAATATTTGACCGTGAAAGTATATACTGTGGCCTTTGACAATACCGAGCGAAACATTTTTCACGGTCAAGCAGTCTGTCGGCTGATTAGATATGGTTGACATATGCTAATGTTTCGTTGTGCTATATTGTATCGTGATACTGTTACGTAATCGACGTACGCGTGTTTTTTTGTGTTGCAATATTGTTGTTCTCCGGCCTATTGCGTAGAGCCGTGAAAAACTGAGCTAAAAGTTGTGATCTTATTGAAGTTCAAATTATTAACGGAAACTTTAACACCGGTTGTAGTCCGTGATTGTTAGACAGTTATATTAAAAGGTTGGAAGCTATCATAGTGAAGTTAGTCAAATCTGTAGAAAGAACGAGTTAAATCCTATTATAATATTGTATGTAAATTTATTTATAGTTTAGTCTATTAATTGTATCTGCATTTGTATTAGGGGACGCCCAGTATATTTATTACTTATAAACTGAACAAGATAACCATATTATTTTATAATATATACAAATAATAACTGTAAGCACATCAATCTCTTTTATTTTATATTTGGGTATACATTTGTTTAAGTCATTTGTTTCTCTGTGTTGAGTATTACCAGTCATACGGGCCAACCGTTATCGTAGGAGCCCGTTGGCTAACACAGATGATTTGTAATTACGCAGCGGTCTTTAACGACACGGTGGGTCGCATAAAATTAATCGAGCACGATATTCTATTGAAAAACCCAACTCCTATCGCATTAAAACCATACCCCTACCCCCTGCACAAACAGGAGGTTATTGACGATATGGTAAACGACATGGAGGCGCAGAGGCTAATAGAACCGAGTGTATCGCCGTGGTCAGCACCGATTGTGCTGGCCAAGAAGAAGGACGGGACTTTTCGTTTATGTATAGATTACCAACGACTAAACGAAGTAACCGTCTCGGACGCGTACCCCATGCCTAATCTAAACGACACGATTAGGAACATGAGAGGGGAAAAATTGTACACGACTCTTGACTTAAAGTCGGCATTGCAATTGGCATTGCTCTTTAAATCAAAAAGCCCGTAAGTTTATGGCATTTAGAACAAGAAGGAGCCTCTTTCAATTTTGTGTACTACCGTTTGGACTCAAAAATTTGCCTATGACTTTCATAAGAATTATGAATGAAGTACTTAGAGGATATCTAGATGATTTTGTCCAAGTTTACTTGGACGATATAATTATTTATTGAAGTAGTTTAGAAAAGCATTTAGAACATTTAGGCAAAGTTCTAGAACGATTAGAGCGACAAGGGCTGACATATCACACAAAAAAGTGTAAAATAGTGTATTCCGAAATTTCCATTTTATTGTACACGGTGAGGGCATAGACAAGCAGCCCGAAAAACTCGAGTCCATCCGCGTCCTATCGGTCCCCCGGAATATTAGGGATCTACGTAGATGTCTCGGCATATTTATTTGGTATTATCAATTCGTCGACAACTACGCCGAAACAATAGCGCCGCTGACAAATCTACTAAAAAGGGGGACGAAATGGTTTTATGGACGGAAGACCATCAAAGGGCTTTTGAACAGGTAAAAAAGGCCCTGTGTGAGTCCCCACGACTGAGTCCTCCTGACTACGCGAAAACTTTCTGCCTTCAAACCGATGTGAGTGAAATGGGCGTGGGAGCAATACTCTTTCAACACGGAGATGAACCGGGAGAGAGAAGAATAATATCATACGCCAGTAAGAAACTTTCAGAAACGCAGAAACGTTACGCCGCCGTAGAACGAGAATGCTTAGCAATTATATGGGCGACTGATAAATTTCGGCCGTACTTAGAGTTTTCTCCGTTCAAATTATTTACAGATAATTCCGCGTTGACTTGGCTACACAGAGCAAAGGACAACAATTCAAAATTAACTAGGTGGGCGCTACATCTAGGTAATTTGAATTTTACAACGACACATNTATCTAGGGAATTTGAATTTTACAACGACACATATACCCAGGAAGCACAACGAAGGACCGGACATGTTGTCTCGTTATCCGACCTCGGGGCCCCCTGTTGACGAAGAGTTACTCGACGACAATCTAGTGGGCGCACCGACGACGAGAACATCGGATAACACGTGGGCCACTCTTGACAATGTTTTTGCCTTAACCGAAACAAACGGCGCGTCAGATAAACGGCCGTTTAAGGGGGGAGGGGAGATACAAGAGTGACAAAACGACGATCCGTTTCTTTCATCCATCATAAAAAAATTACTCAAGGGGAACGCCAGAAAAAACGATAAGGAGTTCAGTAAGAACAACAACAAATAATTCATGTTAGACGGAATTATACGCATTCGTATGGGCGTAGACACACCGGCCGTAATACCAGTAGCCAAATCACAGTGGGTGATTTGGCGATACCACGAAGATGCGCTGGCGTGTCACCCAGGATGGAAAGAAACCTACCGAGCGATCATACAGCGTTTCTATTGGAAGGGCCTGAAAAACATATTACGCGAGTACGTAAAATTGTGTGATGCTTACGCGTGTACGAAGGCCCTAAATAGGCGCCCGCATGATCCTCTAACTTCGCGCAAACCAAGACAACCGTGGGAGGTCATTATTATTGACTTAATGGGTGAGTACCCCAGAACATCTAGGGGAAATTCGAACCAATTAGTAGCAACTGACTGTTTCAGTCGCTGGACCGAAGCGTACCCGATAGGCGCAGCGACTACAAAGACGATTGTAGACACGCTCGAACGCAATTTTTTCTCACGTTTCGGGTACCCCCACGTATTGCTTTGCGACAATGGTCGGAATCTGGTTTCTAACGAAATGATTAACGCGATTAATAGATGGGGGGGCGGAAGCCTGGACCACACATATTTATCATCCGCGCGCAAATCCGGTAGAATGGAAAAATCAGGAGCTAAAAAAAGGTCTCCGTGCCCTACTAGTAGAGGGCGACCATAGCACCTGGGACACTAAAATACCGTCGATACTATTTGCGTTGCGTAATCGTCGGAATAAAAAAACCGGTTATCCGCCTTCCGTACTCGTTCTCGGCCGAGAGCCGAAACAACCTGATGACTGGGCGGTCGTAAATGTAAACACGGCGACTGCCGACAATGTAAACAAGAGCTGCCCATCACCCAAACAGCAGGCCAGCAAAATTATAGATAACGTTCCGACGAAACACGCAGTAAAACCTTTTACGGTCGGAGACGTGGTGTATTATAAGGCACACCAATAATACACATTTAATAAACAAAAAAAATTTTGTGCCGGCTTCGCGCCGGAGTGGTGGGGCCCCGTCAGACTATCGGAAAAAGTAGGAAAAGGGGTGTCCCTGACAGATCAAAATTCCCCACGCAAACTTCACGTATCATGTTTAAAATTAAAATAGTTGCCATGAATTACAAATCACGGCCCGAGCACGGGCTGTCGTCGATATATAGTAGTCCTACTATTTTTATTTTCAACATGTCCTGTCGGAAATGTGGCGAGCGTGACGGCTTGGTGCGCGACCTCCTCCGCCGAAACCCAACCCAACCGAAATGGCGGAAGCGCTCGACGTCCTGCTGTCCAACGTCCCGGCGATCCGTGCGACGGTCGAGGCGGCCCGGAGCGCACCGTAACACCAGATCCAGATCGCAAACGCTTTCTTCACCCGGGTAATGAAGGACGGCCGTGCGGCTACCCTTCGTGAAACCCGAAGGGTATCGCCACCGTGCCGGTGGTCCCGTGGTCTGTGCCGGGGGAGGGTGGTGCCTCCCCTACATAGCGCCCGGTTACCGCTGGCGCGGCGATGCAGCGTCCGGCGGGCCGACGGCGTCTGACCGCCGATTGTCCTGTCCCTGCGCCCTACGCCCGGGACAGAGCGGCCGACGTGGCGAGCACGTCCTCCGGGACAGGCTCGACCACCCGGCCGCCACCGACATACCCAGGTTACAGGAAGCTTACTCCCTCCGACATACGTCGGATGACGGATGACCGGACCGGACAGTCCATTCCCTCTTGCCAACGAGACTGAAGGTTTCAGTGTAATACGATAAGTCTCGAAAGCAATATCTATGACCACAAACACAAAAAGAATATGGCGATAAGTCAACAATTATTTATTACTTATATCTACTGTGTATGATGCGACAATTTATTTACAAAAACCGGCCGGGTCAAGAAATAGACAGACGGTTTGGTGGGGGGGAGTTAACACGGCACCTCCTTTTGCTCTAGGCTGGCGCTCGCCCGTGTCTCTCTCGATATCAGCCGTCCAGCTATTAATATGACAATCGATTGTCACTGGTTGTCTCCCCGCCCTTGACAATGAGATAAGGCCGCCGCCGAATACGGATTACTGATATTGCGTTCTGTTCCGTTTCCGACGTACACCCTAACTGGTTACCCGTTATTTTTGTCGTTTCTTCTTAAGTTGGTTTTTCTGGTGTTCTGTGACGATAACTCGAGACCGATACCTTAAGTAAGCTGTGTAGTATACTATATCTATATATATACATTTGGATTGTGTAAGAAATATATCCGTAACGGCTAGGGTAGTCGATCGAGTAAATATATATACTATATAATATACAATATAATAATAATATCCAGTGGATATAAATCAATCAAATTATTATTTACTTGTTAAATTTGTAGACAATACATTAGCTAAAAAAAAATATATTTTATGTTTAAGATTATTTGTATGATCTTATATAAATAATAATTCTTTACTTTTCCATCTTAAAACTCCTCAAAAAGTAACTTTTGTATGGAGATCTCTGTATATTATTAAGGTTATACGTTGTTGGAAATTATCCAAAAATTGACATACACCGGTATGATATTTTTAATATACACAAAACTTTAATACACAGTCAGTGTAATTTTGACAAGTATTGAAAAATCGTTAAAAAATAAAACATTTTTACTATCAATAATACAATATTATCATTATACTGTATATATAACATCAAGATGTGTGTTAAAAACTGTTATAACCCATCGTTGATTAATGAATTAATCTTAAAATGCACATAATAATGTATGTTTTTATATAATAAAGTTATTAATTTATTTTATGAATAAATAAATAAGATCTTCAACTTTATAATTTATATANTTAATTTATCTTATGGATAAATAAATAAGATCTTCAACTTTATAATTTATATAGCATAATATTTTAGTGGCATCCTTGAAAACTGACGCCCAAAGTATTCGCGTCCAATACCTCCCTAAATACGTCATGGACATAGTGCTGTGAGTTCATATTTATACAAATACTAAAGGACAATTCAAAAAGCATATGGGTTGTATAAAATCAATTAGTTACATGTATTTGTGTATTATACATGCAATTTAACTCAAAAATTCGGAAAATGTAATAATATTATTTTAACGAAGATTATTAACTATAAATAATATATCAAATTAATTTGCTAAAAATAAATAATTTTAAAATTTCTCTTTATATTGTTCAAAATTATTAATATACCTATAAAGTCAAAGTTATCGTATACATGATTGCATAAAGGACAACGGTAACATATCTTATCAATTCTCCAATTATCTATACAACCTTGGCAAAATTTATGTAAACATTCTCCAATAGATGTATCTGGATTATTAAATAAACAGACAGAACATGTTTCTAAAAATGAAAAAATTTATTAATTATTTGAAACAATATTTGGTTAAGATATAATTGTTATAGTAGAAAAAATCGTTTTGGAAACCCTATGAAGACTTAACTTCACAACACCACAATCATACAAAAAATTTACTTATATTCTTTATAACGAATTTTTATTCAATTTTATTACATTCCAAATTCATATTTAATAAAATAAAGAAATTATTAAATTTTAACTTACCATCTGCATTTTGGTCATCATCTTGAGTACAATTTGCTTTGAAAATACATAATTTTCAATAACAGGTTATATAAGACCAGTATTTATTATATCATACATTTCATATCATGTGTTTAGTATTACAACAACACAATATAAAAATGATACTAAATTTGTGACTTTCTACAACACCTAGAGACATGTCTCCCCAGAACAGTAATTATTATTGAAATATCTACGATAAACACCGATGAATATTAATCATTGAAAATATAATAGATTTATGAAAAAAATACTATGAAATTCATATTTTTAAATATGTATCAAGTATTAGACCACACTGTTCTACTTCTATTTACGAAAACTACATTTCTTTTTCTAAAAAATATCATTGCATATAACTTCCGGACTTGTGACTGAGTACTTTTGTTGAAAATAAAAATCTCAAAATCGGAGCACGTTAAGTATTTTACACAGAACAGCATATTTTCCCTTGTAATAGACCAATGAAAAAAATTTATAAAATTTATATTTAAGTGTCCCCATACTGCATAAATATATAATTAATCATTTGTCAATTAAAGAAAAATAATTTCTTTTCCTATACTGTTCAATCTATCACATTTTAGTATGTTGCAGCAATTATTGACGATTAAGTATCGTTAAATTACAAATTCATTTTTATTGATTTAAAAACTCGATTTATTTTTTACTTACCTTCTTCGATTTGATTATCACCTGGAATAGCATAAGTTATCATACATAAAATTAATAAATATATTATTTTAACTTGTAATCAACGAATTTTCAATTAAAAAAATATATTTTAATAATATTAAATATTTTTAATAACGAAACATATATTTTAAGATAGAAGAGACACTAAAAAAGCGGTATATGCTTTCCTAGACTTCCTCTGTTAATTATTTAATGATTTGTTCAAAATTAATAATAAATAATAATATTAATAATATAAAATATTTATATTTTTTTTTGTAGATATACTGTCCGTTAATTGATTCTGTTGTGGAAGTATGTGAAAAATATATATATATTTTTTACTTTATCTTTACTATTATGTTATTCAATAATTGAATATTTACATTATCATACTTAATAAGTTCTTTATTAATATAGCCAAAAACAACACTAGGATTCTTTATTGAAATAAATAGTTAATTAAGATTTATCTTACGTTCTTCATTGTGGTCATTGTCTTGAATACCACATACTATCAAAATAAATAAATAAGTATAAATATTTATGATATATTATAATTTATATTATCCTATCTTACAATTATAGATTTAATTAGAGCATTATTTATTATATAATACATACCGTATTGTGTATTAAAATGACACAACATATATAAATAAAGAGTAATATAAAAATGTTACTAAATTTGTGATTGAGTATGGTACCCAGAGTGTAATTTTTTTGACCCCTCCTGCACACCACACCAAAAAATTGAGAAAAATTGAACTAAAATGTCTATATGAACACCGCTGGCTCACGTGGTTCTTAATTACTTTTCTCTAAGAAACATGAATATTATTTATTGAAAATATAATAGTTTTATGAAAAAAATAGTATGAAATTTATATTTTTAATATTTTTGAAGTATTTAACCACACTGTTCTACTTCTATTTACGAAAACTACATTTCTTTTTCTAAAAACTTATCAGTGCGCATAACTTTTGTTAGAAATAGTAAATTTCGAAAAAATATTATCGGAGTCTCCTAACTGAGTACTTTCATTGAAAAAAAATCTCAAAATCTGAGTGCGCCGTGTAATATTCCTAAAAAGGCGTCTTTTTTCTGTGTAGGATTACGATAAAGATATAAAAAATATATTTAAGCGAACAAATAATACATTAATATATAACTAATCATTTGTCAATTTAAAAAAATATTATCTTTTCATGTACAGTTCCTTCTGTCACATTTTGGTATGTTGAAGTAACTATTGAGTATTGAGAATTGTTAATTAAGAGGAAGGAAATATGTGAAGCTAAGTAACAGTTTTACTTAATTTAAGTATTATTTAAGAAGAATCTTAACAAAAAGATATTTATGTTTAATTTATATTAACTATCTTTATTAAATTCCAAATACATTTTTATAGATTGAAAAACTCGATTTATTTTCAACTTATGTTCTTCAATTTGATTATCACCTGGAATATCTATGTTATCACACATAAAAATTAATAAAAATATTTGTATTTTAACTTGTAATCAACGAATTTTCAATTAAAAAAATATATTTTAATAATATTAAATATATTTAATGACGAAACATAAATTTTAAGATTGAAGAAACACTAAAAAAGCGGTATATGCATTCTTAGACTCCCTCTGTTAATTATTTAAAGAATTGTTCAAATTTAAAAATAAATAATAATATTATTAATAAAAAATATTTTTCAGTTTTGTTGCGAAGCTGAGAAATTATTAATTTTACTATGATGTGTTTTTTTTTTAATTGTTTAATTTTTGTTACTTAAAATTGCCATAACTTTTTTAAAAATGAATTAATATAATGTTTTTTTTATAGATACCTTAGGTATTTACCCACTGGAACGGTTTCAAAATAGTAACTTTTTCATAAAAAATTTACTTTTTCAACTTAACTTTTGAAAATGTTCCGGAAATTTTAACTAAGTGTCAGAATTCTGGATTTTGTATTTTATTTTATTTTAAAATAACAGACAAGGGGAGTACACAGATTTTCATAAATATTATATAAATTAAATTGATATAGCATAGAAAGGTAAACTTATAAAAGTTTTATTTCTTTTTTGAAATCGAGATGAATAATATTGTAATCTGAACTATCTTAAATAGCCATTTTTTCAGCTAATGGTAGTGACGTACGGTTGCCAAAAAGGAAAACTTGTGTTTTACTCGGTACAACGTTCCAACTCACCTATGGCAAGGAACTTTTTGCATTTTTACTTAATTCTTTTTAAGTTAGAATAAATTTTAAACTCCCTTAGATTTTTATCTTATTTAGATTCAGTAACTTCAAAAAAGATCAAGGATCCCATCACTGTAATCACCACTCGCAAGAAGATATTTCTTATTCATATTAAAATTATTTTACAATATTTTAAGTTTTAGCTACGATACAAAGCTGAGAAGATATTTTTTTGTTACTATCATTTATTTTCTCTGCTCTAACTTGACCTACTTTTTTCAACAATACGTCAAATGACTACAATTCGTATCTAGTTGAAGATGTTACCCTCAAAAATTGAAAAAAAATTCTAATTCATCAATTAATCAGTTACTTAGACCCATGTTCTCCATACAGACAATTAAAGTCATTTCTAATATTTTTAACGAATAAAGTTTGATATAATAATAGATGTCAACTACAAAATTAAATAATTTTACTTTGTAATTTAATAATTTTTTTACTCTATTTGTGTGTGCTACTACTACACTATAATATTCCAAATTTTTTGGTAACATGTTGTTATATAAATCATTTCTAAAAAAAAATTATTGTTAGTTTCTCCTGAATTAACAATGGATTTTTATAATTATAATCAAATTTTATAATACGCTCAATTTATTAAATCTTTTTAACAACTTTGTTTTGAGTGGTTCATTTAGTTAAAGTAAATCATAAAAATTAATTATGTTCTGAAAATTTCAATTGCAGAATGTTTTTAAACACCAAAAGTTATTAGGAAATGATTACTATTACTTCTATTTAAGTTATCTATTACGATAAAAATGCAAAAAAAATATTGAGCAACTCTGATAAATTTACTATAAATAGTAATTATAAAACTTCCTAACTGCATATTAATCTTAACGATACAATTTTTTTTATTCTTATAAAGTTTTCTATTTAATGATGTCAATTTTAAACTTGCCAATTGAGCTAAAAGATATAGTTAAATAAATAAATTTTTTTTTTACTATAAACATTCACAAAAATCAACTTTAAATGATTAAAAAAATAGGTTAAATATGATATTTTCCTTATTTTTAACATATTAATAATCAAAATCAGTATTAATTTAAAGCAATTTTTTTTTATTTAATCATTTTTTTATTTATATGTAAGTGCTTATTTTTTAATAATAAGTAATAATATTAAAATTCAGAAGAGATATAAAAAGTCTAATTACATATTTGAAAACATCGCGAAAAGTGTATTTTTGATTCAGATGAAATTTCCTTGTATTCCAGTGCATTTTTTTATAATAACTAACAGTTTTTTTAAATTGTTATACACGTATAAGTAAAGCAATATACAACTACTTTATTAATTTTTCAATTTCTCCTTATAAATTACAATATTAAATTATTTTCATTCAAATTTAATAACTAGAATTAGTATTTATTCATATATTATATTTTTAAATCAAAGAACTACTAATCAGAATATAAATGGGGAAATTGGAGATCATGTAGTCTCTGGAATAATCCATTAATTTTTTTAAAATAAAAATTATCTACAGATTTGCATCAAAGCGTTTCTACAGAAGTGATTTTAATCACTGTCAAATTAAACTTATACTTGTCCCAACTATACTATGTCCATACTGTGACGCGACCCCACTGTGCTACCGTTTTTATTTCTTTTTTGATATACTCTCCGCTAATGGATACTGTTGTGGAAGTATATAAAAAAAATATGTATATTTTTTCACTTTATCTTTAATATTATGTTATTCAATTATTGAATATTTATATTATCATATTTAATAAGTTCTTAATTAATATTGCCAAAAACAACACTTGAATTCTTTATTGAAATAAAGAGTTAATTAGGTTTTATCTTACGTTCTTTATTTTGGTCATCGTCTTGAATACCACATGCTATCAAAATATATATAATTTATATTATTTTATCATTCAATAATAGATTTAATTAAAACAGTATTTATTTTATATTTATATTTCGTATTGTATTGTTTTTTGTGTATAACAATGACACAACATATAAAAATAAATTGTTATATAATATTGATTCCAAATTAGTAACTGTGTACGGTACCTAGAGACATGTTTCATATAATTAACATATAATTAATTAGCATTAAAAGAGGCCTACACCGTACCGCCATTATTCAATAATAATATAAATCTTCAATTCCCAAATTCAACCAATTTCAATAGTCATAAATATAATTTGAAGTTAATGATTCATTTTTAACTTACATATTTCATTTTGGTTGTCGGCAGAGATACCATCTGTTTACAAAACATAAAAAATAATATGTAACAAGTAATAGGTTTATCATAAACGATTTAATTTTTCACAAAATAAATATAAAAATAGAAACAATTTTTATTATGTTTATTTACATATATTTTTATATTTATCAGCAATTATTCACTTTTTAAAACCATGCTTTATAACTTATAGAAATGTCAGCTTTATTTTTTTCAAATGGCATCGTACATAATTTACTAGCTTCTTTTTAATAGATAATTATTAAATTCGAAAGTCACTGATAGATAAAAACTTTTGGATCTGTACTAAGGATATTATTCTTGTTTGTAATCTTTGCTGAGTGGAGGAGTACGACCGAGAAATCACTGATACTAAAAATAACTGCACTCAAACCTCACCTCTTGCCAGAATTTTAATTTGTTAATAGCTAATGAAATATTGTTCCAAAAGATGTTATTAACCAGTTATTTTATGAATTAAGTCATTATCATTAAATAAACTAGTCAATTATGTACGTTGCCATTTAAAAAAATAAAGTTGACACTCCTATAAGTTAGAAATATATAAAAATATTTTATTTTTCTATAGGTACACTATATGACATTTGTTTATTTATATGTTGTTCACTACATTGACACAAGTAAAATAATATAAAGAGTTAGTGATGGGTGGATAGTATTTGTGCTAAAGCTTCATCGCCATATAATACCTCTAAACATGACCTATAAAAAACCCCATGACACGACTAGTATCGTAATTATAATAATAATGATCAGTATTACATGTTTCTATTTTCCAAATTTAACATGCTAAAGAGGGTAGTAATCACCTGTTAGAGTTTAAAAGTTGGTTCTAGGCAAATAATAGACGGGATCAGATTTAATCAGTTCTTAATTAATTTAAGCAAAAATTATACTTGGTTTTTTTTTTTTGTAATATAGAGTTCATTAAGTTATAACTTACGTTCTTCATTTTGGTCATTCACTGGGATACCATATGCTTTCAAAAAACATAAATATATATATATATATATATAAAATACTATAATTTATTCTGTCCTATCGTTCAATAATAGATTTAATTAGAGCAATATTTATTAAGAAAACCACATTCCATTTTCTAAAATCATATTAGTACGTATAAAATTTGTTCGTAAAAGATAAATTCAATAATTCAATAATCATAAATATAAATATGGTTTATAATATAATAATATGAAATTATTGATTCAGTTATAACAAAATTATAGAATTTTAATATTAGTGATTAAGAAACAAAGTATAATTCTTTTAAAATTGTTAAATGTTACAATAACTGAAACCGTATTTCTATTGCTACAAAAAGTACATTACTTTTTTACCTCAAAAAAAAAAACAAAACAAAATATTTCTTTGTCTAGTTTGATTTTTATTTAAATATTTATTACCAGCAAAAAACACCAAACACAAACACAACAAGACTGGATATTTCTGTAAAATAATGAAAGCATAATTACAACTACGACGACTTATTATAACATTACAATATACAAACCATTTTTCTTTTTTTTTTTTATGTTAAACTTCCACAATTTTCTACGTACAAATATCGTATCAAAAATCATTATTTTTATAAATGCTTATTATTAAATAAAATTTAGTGAGTAAATGATACAAATAGAATTATTTATTCAATATTAAAGTAAACAGAGTAATTATTTAGCTATGTCATATGAAATTTCATTTCATATATTAGTTTTTCTTTGCAGAAATTAATAATATCCTACGTTCTATAATTTTTAGAAAAAAATTTTCTGTACTCCGTATTCCTTAAAATTTTATAAAATTGAAATATAGTTATTATATGCTTAATCAGATGATAAATTAGAATAAATACATTATTTATTGATATCCAATAAAAAAATTAGAAGATATCTCGTGGAACGATGGAATGGTACATTTAATTAATGAAAAGGATCGACAAAAAAGTAGAGCAGAGAATGAGTGTGGCAGAGATGATAATGCTTAGATGGATGAGTGTAGAGATTAGAGAAGATAGGATAATGAATGAATATATAAGAGAGAGTATAGGTGTAGCGTTAGTCGTTGAAAATATGAGAGAAAATAGCCTTAGATGGTTTGGTCATGTTACGAGGAGAAAGGAATCGGAAGCTGGAAGAGGAAGATAAAAAAAAAGATGAAGGGATATAATTAAATAACTTAAACCGGTTATACTATTTATCACAGTTTTAAAAATTTTAAATGATTTATTTCCTACAGAAAATATTTTAAATATGTTTTTAATTTTGAAAAATATAAACTACAAGTGATCAATACTTATTTAACAAAAAAATTATCTTATATAATTTTGAGTTATTCGATTAAAAGATATGAATTCACAATAAAATACAAATGTCGTAAAAAATATCAGTCTTTTCTTTGCTAAAAAGTTGTAAAATAATTTCCAAAATGTATCAAATTGATCGAGTTTAGATAATAAAAAACCCAGCACAGGGGGGTCGCGGCACAGTGGTGACGTGACATATTTGGATCAAGTATAATGATATCTGACAGTGATTAAAATCACTATCAAAAAAAAACGCTTCGATGCAAATCTTTAGATAGTGTTTAATTTTAAAAAATTGTAGGATTATTCCAAAAGCTTCATAAACTGCTAGTTCCTTATTAATATCCTGATTAAGATAAAGTATGTCGAATGAAAAAGGGATTATTAAAAAATAGTATTTCCCATAAAAAAACTAATCCATACACTTTTCAATAAGTTATAGCATTTTAAAGTTAAAAATGTAAATTATAAAATTGAGAAGTTTCACACAGATATAGCATTTGGTAGCCATTTTCACCGTGAAGACAAAATAAAGTTCGAAATTTTTTTTTTACTATTATAAAGTATATTACATTAGCTTTAATTTAAGATATATATAAAAGTGTCAGACCTTCTGGAACACTTTCAAAAGTTAAGTTGAAAAAGTTCTACTTTCTATATGCATTTTTATGTTTTTAATACCCCCTGTATTAAGGGAAATGGTCCTATTTAAAAATCAAGTATGTCGAATGAAAGATCTATATAAATACTACTTCTCATAAAAAAATTGTAATGATCCATACATTTTTCAAAAAGTTATAGCATAATAAAGTTAAAAATGTAAAATACAAAATCGAAAATTTTCACACAAAAATAGCATTTGGTAGCCATTTTCACCCTGAAGATAAAACAAAGTCCGAAATTTTTATTTTTCATAATAAAGTATATAACATTAGCTTTAATTTAAGATATATATAAAAGTTTCAGACCTTCCGGAACACTCTCAAAAGTTGAAAAAATAAATTTTTTATAAAAAAGTTGTCATTTTAAATCATTTTAAAAGTCAGATTTATAAAAAAAATATAACAAATAATAGGTAATGACATCATGCATCTATATAAAAAAGAATTATATTGATATGTTTATTTTTTAAAAAGTTACGGCATATTTTAGTAAAAAAAATTGAAAAATTTTTGAAAATTAGCCATTTTTAAATTTGTAATTTTTTCGTATATTTCCCCCATTTACGGGGAACGAGGGAATTTTTACAATTTTTGAGGGTAATGTCTTCGACTAGATACGATTTGTGATCTTTTGACGTATCATTGAAAGAAATCGGTTTGGAGAGCTGAGAAAAAGTGGTAACAGACACAAAAAAAAAAAAAAAACACATTTTAGTGAAACCAATACCTTCTCAGCTTCGCATCGAAGCTAAAAAATGTTTATATGGCCTCAGAAATGTAGATTAAACGCATAACATTTTTTTTACTAAATTATCTAAAAGAATTTCGCAAAAATTTTATTGCTTAAGCTTTGCAATATCTAGAACCGAAACTGAAAATGTTTCGTATTTTAAATTAATTATTTAATAATTAATTTTGTTTTTATTGATATTTCAGATTATAAATGGACAATACCCATAGAGAGATATTATCTGGTTTTTTAATTAATTATATATTACAGAAATTCTATTATTATTATTTTTTTATTTCAAATTATGGCTTAAGTTATTTTTGTGTAGTATAATGTAACAATTTATCGTTTCTATTCCTAAGTCTTACAAAATATTCTTAAATATATTTATACAAGTGTTTCTAAATTATATTTATTTTCGCAATGAATACTTAAAAATATTTTTAACTGTTTAATTTCAATTCACTTAATTATGTTAGAGTTTAGTTATTATTATTTCTTATTTTAGAATAATAAATGACTTTGAAAATTGATTGTAATATAAAATATTACATGGTTACTAAATTGAAATTTATCATAATTATAATAATTTCAAAATAATATAAGTGATAATATAATAATATTTTTTCACAATTTTTGTGATAGATTTCTATGTCACCGTTGTAGTTATTAAATATAAAATTTAAATTTAAAAAAATTTTATCATCTTTATGATGAAGTATAACACAATAACTGTAGAACCTTAACACACAAGTTAACATCTCTATCAATTTAAATAATTTATTTATTTTTTAATTTAATGATCATTTTTTTTATAAGGTTACAATTAGGGCCAGATTAATACGATTGCTTCTCTATGACATTTTTTTATTTTGTTATGTTTCAAAATATAAGAATAAAGCCTAAAATAAATATCAAAAATATAAATATTTCTACATAAAATTTCACCAAGGGTGGCCAAACATCTTAAACCAGTTAAACTATTAATAATTAATAGTAATTATTACAGTTTTATGCATTTTTTGTACTATGTACGACATTCTATAAAAACGCTTCAAATTAACCCATATTTAATAGATGTACACAATGAATGATAAATACAAAAAATATTTTAAATATATTTAAAATATATTTTTAATTCTTAATAAAATGCCACGGCATTGTCATTTATTTGTCTTCCCACGATCGTGCCAGTACCTTCTTAGCCACCGTCCCACTGTAAACCGGACCATTACACACACGCGTTATGGCCTTGGTGTAAAGTCCAACAAATGCCCGTCGCAATAATTCGTTTATCAGTCATCTCCATGACACCACCACAGTCTTCTGTGTGGTTTGTGTTGCGTTCGACATACTTCTCCTTCACGATTGGTATATTGTTATATTTTGTGATATTAGCAATACTATTTGTTTTTGTTCCCACTTTCTTTTAAATATTTTTCTTGTGTTATTTGATTAAAATATACGACTCCAAGCCACTACGTGAATAATTTGTGTCGTCTATGCTAATTAAGTGACCTATGATCTTAACATAATGTTAGCCACAAGTGATTTTCAGTTTTTTTTAGCTTCGATACGAAGCTGAGAAGGTATTAATTTTACTATGATGTGTTTATTTATTTATTTTTTTTTTT